TAGATCTCTTTAAACCACTTACTTGATTATTTAGCTTTAAGGCTAATGCAATAACATTACTAGAATCATATGCAGGTACTTGAAAAGCTAATTGATAAGTTGGTGAGTAAGTTGGTTGTGGATATGGTTGGTAAGGATAAGGTGAAATATTGCTCGTAGTAAGATAATATTATCTGTCAAAACTCACAGCTTGAGCTTCAATCTCTTTTTTTTTGGCACTTTTCTGGCTTCTCCTTCTTTTAATTTACTATTTTTAATGGCATTTTTAATGATTTCACCAGAGATCATCATGTCGATAAAATTCTTTATTACATTCTCTATCATCTTTTCATAATAGGAAGATTTTAAAGTACTAACAAATAACATTATGGTTTTTTCAGTTAAAGAGGGTTACACTTGAGAAGTAATATCTCTCCACCTTTATGTATATTCTTTAAATGACTCAGTCACCTTCTTCTTCATGTTCTACAAAAAAAAATGATCATGGGCTAAGTCTATGATATGTCGATACTAATTAATGAAGTTATGAGTCATATCACTTTAAAAATAAATGTAGATCCTATCCAACTGGATATATCATCTAGCAGCAGAGCTTATGAGGCTGTCTTAAAATACATGCATCAACAGTTTCTCATTATTAGTATGGGCTGCTATTTTTGTACAATACATGGTAATGTGAGTCTTCGGACACTTTGTACCATCATACTTTTTGAATTCTGGCACCTTGAACTTCGAAGAAATAACCACATATGGGACTAAACAAAGCCTAACAACATTTACAAAATAATACAAACTTTTTCCATTGTTCGCAATCTCTTTTCCAGCATACTAATCTTCTGGTCAACTTTCAAATCCCTTAGTAACTTGCCCCCTTTTGATTTTAACTTTTCGTTCTCCTTTAGATCGTCCAAATCAGGGATTTGAATTGGTTTTACTACTTTTTTTGTAAAGATAAGATTTATATAACTCTGATACTGTCCTGGATTTGAAGCTGATGGCATTCTCGGGTATGTGAACTGCTGTGGTAGTGGACCTTATACAGGTTAGGCTTGATGTGACCCAAAACCAATAGTGTACAGTGGGTCATCCACCTTTTGTGATGGATGGTCTTATTGGCTAGTACTTTTTTCTATATTTTTTTATTTAATTTATTCAAAGCCTCAAAAATCTTATTCAACTCCTTTTCAAGCTTCTCTTAGGCATTCTCTATCCTCTCAAGACGATTGAATTTTTTTATTCTATATGTCTGGCTCAAGCCTTTGTATTGTATTGGTGAGTTGGGTTTTTACTTAGTGGAGCTATTCTTGAACCTTAAGTACGACAATTATGATAAAAAAAATTATATGCTTTATGTGTAATGCATATAACATACATTTCCATGGATGTTGGTATGGGATGTGGCAAACATTTCCTACATGAAAATGATGCAAATGATAATGTTTAAACATGAGCATGAAAATGATGCATAGAATGAAATGATATGGAAATGATGCATAGAATGAAATGGTATGAAAGTGATGCAGATGCATATAAAACAAAATGGTTAGATAAGCAATATACAAGTTGTTCCTTCTTGTGTCCTAATTTCAGGTTATATCTATCAATTAGGTGGGAATGGCTCTATCCTAAGGCTGTTAGCCTATTAGGGGTGAACTATATGTAGGGTTAGGTGATTTCGACCACTAAAGGTTCTCAAATTGTTCTTGACAACATAGTCTATCACAAACTAGTAAAGCATTTCAATCCTCACCCATCACAGGCTACCAACAAAAATGATTCAATTTGAGTGAGAGTATTTTGCTAGCCATTAAGGAGATTATCATCCCATGAGAGCGTAGGTACTTTACTTCCTCATAAGAGGGACGGAGCTCAGGTATAGAGCTCATGTAATGTTTATGCATGTGATAGTGTGTGTGAAGGAACACATAGGTTTCATGCCCTAAAAATAAATTACCAAACAAAAAGAAAAAACGTTAGTAAACAGGTTATTATAATTTAAAACCATTAAATCAAATGATAGGATAAATTCAAAATTTATGGCTTGACTCTCTATGGCATCCCCAGTGGAGTCGTCAAACTATCATAACATATAGATTCGTAAATTTATAACTAGATTTAATAAATGGGGTCACCACCAATCTTTTTTAACTAGGTGTAATTAGCCACCTAATGAATCTATCATCTTAAGAAGCTTCTAAGCTTGACTAAAGGTCCCTAAAAGAATAAGTTCGGGTTTACTAACCAGAACAAGGTTCAGGAGTTCGGTTACATGTGAAAAAGGTTATAGCACTCCCACATACCCATCCAAAAGATGGTACTATACTATTTTAAATTTATCATAGGTTCTTGGTTCTAATGGTTTTAAAATTTAATGTTAAAATATTAAAAATAATTCTTAAAATTCTCCATCAATTTGGTAGAACTCTTAAAAATATTTCATCACTTCAAGAGTATTCAAGAATCCCATTTGTTTTCTTGAAGAGGCTCCGTCGTCGAAAAAATATTTAATTATTATTATTAATTTTTTTATTGTCAAAAATATATTTAATTATTTCACCATTTGGGCCAAATTAAAAATATTTTTTTATTTTAAATTTTTAAATTCTCTACCATTTAGGCATATTTAGAAATTCTTTTTATTTATTTTTTTTAAAGAAAATAATCTGACAATTATTTTTTTTTTGAAATTTTATTTAAATTCTTCCACCATTTGAAAAAAATTTAAAGAAATTTCTCACCTAGGAATTTTATAGAAATTTACCATTTGAAATTTCTATAAATTTCATCATTGGATAATTAATATTTATTCCCAAAAGTTATTTTATTTTTTACCTTTTTTATTTTTATTTTTCTAAAATTTAATCATGTAAAAATACTAAAAAAAACAAATAAATAAAAAAATACTCAAAACAGGAAGCGACTCGGCTCTAATGGCTATTGCGCGGCTCGACTGCAGGAAAAAAAGCTGGAATGACTTAAAAAGTGGCTTCGCTTGGCTTAGCTTGAGATAGAAACTTGCCTGCTTTTGAAAAGAATTCATAAATATCTTTCTTAGTTGCTTTTAGAGGCATCTGGTAAGCAAAAACAGTTCTCTGGTCCCTCTCAGGATTAGTTTCAAGCTCCACTACTTCTTTCTTTTCCTTAAATCTCATGTTATCTCTGACGTCAATTTCACATTCTCTCTCCTGCTCCCTCTCTCTTTTGTGATCACCCTTGTGCTTCCTTGACCTACTACTGCTTCTCTCTCTCTCTTTTCTCTCTACTCGAATGAACTTCGATTGAATCTCTGTCGAATTCTGAAAAACGTTATCAAAATCTGGGTTAGTTTGCAGGACAGTCCCTGAAAAATTCAACCAATGCCAGAATCTTCACCGGATTCTGAAAACTTTCGTTGAAAATTTCAACCAGCATCGAAAAAGTCACCGAAAAATTCAACTGATGTAAAAAAATTCACTAAAAATTAAAAATTTTCTAAAAATCTGGGATTTTCTAGATCTTTCAAAAAAAACCCCTTCATTTTCTAAACCCAAAAATCTTTCAAATTTTTTTTCACAACTTTTTGCTTGCTGTGTTTTCTACTTTTGTGTCTTTGATTTCTATGTATTAAAATTATATTTATAGGGTCTCAAATCCAAGAACCCTAAATAGAATAAGATTTCAATCCTTTTTGGGTTTTACTTCTGAGTTTTAATCCAACTTAAATTCCTTATACCCTTTCACGCAAATTCAACCCATATTTTTTTTGTTTTTCCCATTTTTTTATTAATTTTTTATTTTTTATTTTTACAAAAATCAAATGTAGACCCCAGATAGATTGGAGTATCTATAAATGCCATGAAAGTAATGGTGTTTTTATGATAAAAATGTTAAAAAATAGCGGTATTTGTATTTGAAAAATATTATTATATTAACGGTTTTTTTTTAAAAACGTAACTATTTTTCACGACGCATGTATAATCGATACTCTGACTTTTATTTTTTACAAACACTGCAAATCTTTTAATGGTATTTATAAACGTTAATAAATATAAAAAAAATATCATTAAAAACCAAAACCCCTATAGTGTTCCTTAAGAGCCCTAAAAGTCAACATGAACAAAATATTTCCTGGCCTTCATGTTTCCACAACAATATCTGATATGTTAATCGTATTCTGGAGATTAATGAAACTCCATATTTGTTAAAATCATAAATCCCTAATATGCAGTTCCAAAATAGGCAGTTTTTTTCAATGACTTATTATCCTTTGAAGGTTCTTGATATTCCTGACAAGCTCCAAGCCCTCCTGGCATGCCAGCCTCATGGAATTTATTTCTTTCTCCTATGGAGATTTTTTTTTTTATTTAAGTGTTTTCAGTCATATTATTGCAAATATTTCTTTTTTATTCTTTTGTGATCAAATTTTTTTTCAAATTTCCTTTTATAATAATAAAAAAAGAAAAGAACAATTAGTTTTGTTACAACCAAGTATTTTTCTTCGACCAATAATTTGACGAAACACCAAACCAGATAGTTCTAATCTTATTATGATTTCTAAAAAAAAAGGCAATATTAGTTTTTGTCCACATTGCTAATAATTATTCAAATTTTCAAAGGATTAAAGTTTAGATAATATCAAATAATTGAAGAATTTTTTTAATTTATATTTAATATATTTTCTGTTTTTAATTTTATATAATATAAATTAATTAGATGATGTTAGTATATTAAGTAGCAAATATTAACATTAAAATAGATATATAAAGAGTTAAAAAAATTTTAAAATTTTATTTATTAATAAAAAATTATTATCTGATTTATTTTATTAATAAAATGAATTTATTGATAATGTATAAAATATATATGTCATAAAGCACCAAATATAAACTTTGTTTTTTGTTAGAATTGAGGAAAACTTTCCAATAGCCCCAAACATATAAATTAATAGCCAAAAAGGGTATATTTACATCATAATATCTGCATGAACTTGGCACCTCTTTGTCCTAGGAGGTTACGTGACTATAGTTTGTTTCGATACGCCTCTCTGTCTGTCTGTATTCAATTTATTACAACTCCTACACTTAAGACTCGTTCTCTCAATTTAGGAACTTCGGAAGCTAGAACGCAACCAGCTGTAAACAGAACATTACTTGTTTTTTCTTCTCTCCCAGGAAAATGAAAACAATCTCCTGTGTTATTTTCCCGAATTAAGAGAAGCAAAAAATCGAGAAGTTCTTGACCTTCTCGCTTCTCTTATTTGCCTTCTTCACATTTTCATCATCAGTTGATTCAAAAGTGGTCTCCGTTGCTTGCCTTGGGTCAGTGTCATTGTTTTGATACAATGGGGCGGATTGGGAATCTTGTTCATGGGTTAAAGCCTCCAATGCTCATGGTGGTGGTTCAGGCAATATTTGCTGGGATTAATTTGATGTATAAATTGGCAGCAAATGATGGGATGAGCTTGAGGATTATCGTCGCTTATAGATTCATGTTCGCCACAGTCGTTATGGTCCCTCTTGCTGTCATTCTTGAAAGGTCCATCGATCGTTCGTTTAATCTTTCTTTTTCTTTTATTAGTCTTCGTCAATTCCAGTATATGATGCCTGAATATTTATTACAATATATGTTTCTTCGTCTGACCAGGAATTTAGTATATGAAATCTTGAATTCTTTATCTTCATATAGGAAGAGCTTGAGAAAAATTAATCGAATGGTACTATTTCAAGCGTTTCTTTGTGGGTTACTTGGGTAAGTTAAATCCATAAATATAACAATTTCTTTTTTCTTAACAAAAGTACATACGAAAGAGATTCTGAATATTCGTTTCTTTATATATATATATAAGTGAAAAGAGATTGTGGAGATTCAATTATTAATTGAAACAAGCTATTTCTAATATCTTTAATTCAAACTGCAGGGGATCACTAGGTCAAAACTTGTACTTGCAAAGCTTGGTGTTTACATCAGCAACATTTGTTACTGCAATGATCAACCTGGCTCCAGCCATGACTTTTATTTTCGCCATTTTTTTCAAGTATGTATCTTATTCATTAGTCACTATGAATTATTTACAATCTATTTTAGATTGATAGTGTCATTGCTTCTTTCAAGATATATATAGCCACTGATTCGAAGTTCATGGGTTCAAATTTCATCACAGGATGGAGAAATTGGCGATAGGAACTGTCGCTGGAAAGGCAAAGGTGTTAGGGACATTAATAGGAATAAGTGGAGCCATGGTCTTCACGTTTTACAAAGGGATAGACATTAACATATGGTCAACAAATGTAAACCTTTTACACCATCATCAGCAACCTGGAGTCCCAACTGGACCTTCAACACATGACACTGGCAAGTTTATTCTAGGTGCTTTCTTGGGCCTTTTGAGTTGCATTTCTTTCGCTTTGTGGTTGATCACTCAGGTGAATTTCAGACATTTGTACTTCGAAAAATTCTCAGATCGAAAGTTATAAAATTTACATGTTCTTTTCATTTTTTAACTGTATCAGGCTAAGATGAGTATTCAATTCCCTTACCTTTATTCAACCACTGCTTTAATGTGCATAATGGGATCAATACAAGGCGCTGTTTTTGCCCTTTGCATTGAAAGAGATTGGAATCAATGGAAATTAGGCTGGAATGTTAGGCTTTTGGCTGTAGCTTACGCGGTACGTTAAGTTCTGTATCAACTTCAGTATACTAATTTTTCGGCCTTTTTTTTTACTTTGTAATTCGAGATCTTGTGAATTGTGAACATGTTATGTTGCAGGGAATCATGGGCTCTGCTTTAATGGTCTTCTTGGTCTCATGGGGTGTACACTTGAGAGGTCCCCTGTATGCATCTATTTTCAATCCTTTGGGGCTTGTCTTTGTTGCCATTATGGGTTCTCTGATACTGGATGAGAAACTGCATTTAGGAAGGTATGTCATTTCATATATATTTACTTACTACTTATGAAAATCGGATCGAGATCCCCCTCAATTACTTTTTTATCACTAATCACAGTAATAATTGTTAAATCTAAAATTTCTATATGTGTCATGCACTACTCAAATTGAAAGATTTTTTATGTGCAATAATACATAAATCATTAAAGGATCAACATGTTGTCTTATTTACTTGGAGTGGAATGTTATTACTTGACCTATATATGATCTATTAATTTAATTGTTTCTGTTTCTGTAAATCAACAGCATCATAGGAGGAATATTGATAATATGTGGAGTATATGTGGTGCTATGGGGCAAAGCTAAAGAGATGAAGCAGAAAACTCAATTAGTACCAACACCAACAGCTGATAAGGAATCTGACCATGAAACAGAAGAAGATGATCAAAAGGAGAATAAGGAAAGGATAGAAGCAGTTCCCCAGATTACCATCCTGCCTTGAATTATTTCTTTTTCTAACTTTAATTGCCATTAGTAGCTACCAGTTCAGCAAATTTGGTGCAGTTGTTGCAGGAAAACACTCTAAATTTCATTCAAATATTTCGTAATCCTGCTTTTCCTTTTTTGGTTATCCTATCATTGCATAGGATATATATATATATATATAGAGAGAGAGAGAGAGAGAGTACTTTTACTAGGTTCATAGAATATTAAATCCTTTGATTTGTTTTCATTTGTACAAATTTTGTACAAGCTTGAAACCAAATATTAATCTATTACAGTTAGCTTCATCTATGAAATATTTGAGAATAGAATTATCCATTTCTTTCTGTAACTTTATAGAGCATGAATAAATCATGGGAATATATATATATATATATATACACGTGTGTGTGTGTTTAGAATACATTTCTCATATGTTTTAGGATGATACATTTCACTTGACAATGTTTTATGCAATGATCTCTTACTTTAGATTATTTTAAACTTCACATGTAGTTAATTGAGTGCAAATCCATTAATTTATCGCTAAAATTGTGAGAAAAAAATGAAACAAACGATGGTGGGGTAGTGGTAAAAGCAAAATGTCTTGTTACTCCACTTACCTCATTTGTAAAAAATCTTAGCCACCAAAAATAAGTTGCTAATGACTATTCCTGTAAAGGCTAGCTTTGCTTTCCAATAGTAAATAGAATATTAAAAGTTTTGTGTTTCCTTCAAAGCTATTGTTTTTTCAAGTTGGGAAAATCATTTTATATGTTTGAGTGTTTACGTTGAACACTTTGCTCGAAACCATTTTGTTTTTTGGCTGATTTCTACAACAATATTGTTAATCACCCTCACCTTTTCTGTAACTTATTTATTACCTTCCGTTTGATATATTAATTAAAAAGCTTGCTTTTTGAAAAAAAAAAAAAAAGCATCAAAATCAAATTTTAATTTCCCCATCTTCAACCTGAAAAAAGCAAATATCTTTACTCAAGGAAGCCTTTTACAACTTTATTACATCTTCTTTTATGGTAAAGGATTGTTTCATAGGCAATCACCTTAATTATATTATGTTATTAACCAGAAAAAGGCGAAAAACAAGCCAATACCTTTCGTATGTTGATAACCCATCTTTACAATACTCAAACTATTAATGATAATAAACATTAATTGATACACGTGAAATACTATAAAGAATGTGAATATAATGTGTATTTGTGCATAATCAACCTAATCGGCATCAATATCACCGGCTTCGAGAAAAGTTATATCTCATAATTACCTTTTCCTTCATTTTCCCACATATCAAACCCACCTACAAGTTTCATTTCATATGGTAAACAATACTATTTTTCCTTGGATTTTCGGGGTTGCCAAAGAAACACAAAAATAGCCGCTTAGAAGGGACTGTCAAAGCAGACTGTGCACCCACTAACGTGAGTGAACCATTAGAACTGCCTCACCACGCATTATCCACGTGTTATAAACACAAAGAAGCAAGCTACTCAAACGTGTGCCTACTTGTGAGGGAAGAACGTGCCCCATACATATATTTACAATACCAAACCAACAAAGTAAATTTATTCATTTCGATTTTGGGTGTAGGTATTGGTTCAATCTATACTTTCGTAAGTTCATTCGTTTTCATGTAAATGATTTTGAATTTAAATCATATTACTAAGTTTTTATTGATATTAAACTCAAATGCATGATATGAGATGAGACGCATTTACAATCGTTAATTTCAAATACAGAATCCATGTATGGCATCTTTCTGATTAGAACTAAAAGACTCATGTATCATATTTCTATTGTCAAAAGAAAGATATTGGCATGGTACCTAAGCTTGACTAAAAGAGAAAGGAAGCGCATGGCAAAAGGGCACCAAAAGGCAAAAGGTTCAAAAGCAAAGCAAAGCCTTACGTTTGCAGTGGGAAACTGAGCACGTGCGGAATCGCTACGTGGTTACACGCCGCAGGCTCCTGTTTACTAAAGAAAGAGAGTAAAAAAATACAGTGAAATTTTATAGCTTATAAATTCTGAAGGACTCACAGGGTGCAACCATCAACCTAGCTAGCTAGCTAAGCTACTTGCCATCTTCTCTGGGGTTTGTGAATAATAGCTTGGCTCTGCTGAGAAACAGAAGCAAGAAAACGACAATTCGAAAAGTTTGCTTCAAGTATCTGTCTATTTGGGTTTTTGGTCTTTGGGTTATTGACAAAAAAAAAAAAAAAAGATGGGGCAGATTATTAACATTTTGCATGGATTAAAGCCTGCAATGTTGATGGTGGTGGTTCAGGTACTGTACGCCGGGGTTAATGTGTTGTGCAAATTGGCAGCAAACGATGGAATGAGCTTGAGGATTTTGGTCGCTTATAGATTCATATTTGCCACGGCTGTTATGGTCCCTCTTGCTCTCGTTGTTGAAAGGTTTGGTTTCCTTTGCTTTCTTTTTTTGTGTTGTTCATTTTTTTTTCTTCTAAGCATAATTAGAATTATAGTATTCAGTAATTTGTCAAATAAGATTGTTTTCACTCTATGCATGGATGAAGCGTGTAAGGGAACTTAATCAATTAAATTCTCTTCTCCCTAAAACGAATTGATTGCAAGATGCATCTTTAATTTGCCAACTGTTTAGCTTTTTCATGTAAATTTCTAGTTTCTATTGGATGGTTCTTCACAGTGTCTTTAAACAGTGTTAGGAAGATAGGAGAAGCGATGAATCATCAAAACTGAACTTTTTGCACTTTGAGAAGAAAAGATTTCAACGTTTTTCCTTTGCTTGAAAAGGCTTGTTATTAAACCTTGCTTTCTGCCATGTTTGTTGCGCAGGAAGAGGCCAAAACTAACTTGGACTGTACTGGTTCAAGCATTCTTTTGTGGGTTACTTGGGTAAGTTAACTTCTTTTACCAGGTTTAGTAAAAGATTTAAAGGTGAATAATGTTCCATCTCTCAGGCTTTTTGTTGACAGTTGTGACGTACTATATTAATAGCCCAAAACAAAAGTCAACTTAATTCAACAGAAATTGAAGAGTTCTAGAATCTTGTCAACTTGCTCAAAGTGTTGCAATGTTGCTTTAAATGACACTCGTGCTGGAAGGCATTTTACCCTTATTCGATTAATTTCGATTTGATCCAATTTTTTAAGGATAATTTTTTTTTAACGTTAAATATCAAATCAGGTCGAGTTAAATAATAAAAAAATTTGAGATCAAATTAAGATTAAATTTTAAGTAAATTTAATTTTATTCGATTTTATATATAAAAAAATTATTTGTAATTAATTAATTAATTTTATATCTAATTAAATCGGATACGATTTTATATAATATTAAATTAAATCAAATTTATTTATAAAAAAAAATTTTAAAAATTAAATCAAATCAGGTTCATTATATATATATATATATATATATAGATAGTTGAACCGGGTTCAGAGCAATCAAAATCTATCCAGATATATGATCCGTTGCCATCCATATTATTTTTCCATAAACCCACTTCCTCCCTGTTCACCAAGTCCTTGCTGGCTGCTGCTACATCTTTTTGGCCTTTTTAGATTCCAAAATCTCTGTCAAGAAGGAAGAAATTATAGTAGCAAAAATATATCTAAGAAGTGGTTAATTTGGAAATATTTGTTTAATTTTCTATGTAATTCCCTCCCTCCGTTCTGGAACCAGACTCCAGTACCAAGCCTTTCATTGATATTTCTTTCTTTATAGAAGAACTAGAAAGGGATTAGTTCATTAATGGTAATCGATATACATGACACTTCTTAAAATATAACCTGTTAGAAAACAAACTTTTTTCTTGAAAAGATTAATATTTATTAATTTTCCATATTATGCAGGGGTTCACTATGTCAAAATTTATACATGGAAAGCCTGGCCTTAACATCTGCAACATTTGTTTCTGCCATGAGTAATCTTATTCCAGCCATAACTTTCATCATGGCCATCACTATTGGGTATATATCCTTCTTTGACTCATACAATTTTTACTTAAAACAAATTCATTGTCCAATCCCCTATTTTATGGCAGATTGGAAAAGCTAGCTCTTGGAACAATGGCAGGGAGGGCAAAGGCGTTGGGAACATTAATTGGATTAGGTGGGGCAATGCAGCTCACGTTTTACAAAGGAATCCAAATTAATATGGGATCAACCCGTCTTGACCTTCTACATCATGGACGCCACGGGGCTATTTCATCACATGCAGCCTCTGCCCATCATCTATTGGGTGCTTTGCTGGCTCTGGGCAGCTGCATCTCTTACGCTCTTTGGTTGAACATTCAGGTAATTTAATTTGCAAAAGATTTTGTGTTACATCTTTTAAAAAAAAAAAAAGGTTCTGAATTATGTCTTTTTATTTGTTTTATAAAGGCTAAGATGAGTGAGAAATACCCATGTTATTACTCAAGCACAGCATTGATATGCATAATGGGAGCCATACAAGCAGTTGTTTTTGCACTTTGCATGGAAAAAGATAAGAGTCAGTGGAAATTAGGCTGGAAAATTAGGCTTCTCACTGTTGCCTACGCGGTAAGTTATTTACATTGTTGAAGCTAAACCCTTAGCTGGATTTTTAGCTTTATGGCTGAAACTGAATTAATTTGGAGAGTCTTTTGTTCATTGCTTTGCAGGGAATTTTAGTATCGGGGCTAATGTTTAGCTTGGTCTCTTGGTGTGTGCGCATGAGAGGTCCACTTTATGCATCTGCTTTCAACCCTTTAATGCTCGTCTTAGTTGCCCTTGCAGGCTCATTGTTTCTCGAGGAAAAGCTCTATCTTGGAAGGTAAGTAATAATTAATTTGGAAAGACTGAACCTTTTCCAAATTAAATTAAAAACAAGCTACAATTAGGAAAAAAAAAAAAGAGTTATCGATTAACAAAAAAAGAAGCAATAATGAAATGGTTGTGTGTGTGTGTGTGTGTGTATATATATACATATATACATATATATGTATACTTGTATATGTATATAAGTAGTAAATGAAGGTTAAAAAAACCATAGATATATGCTAGAAATTTTATATAGGAAAAGATATTGAATTTATGACTAGTTACTAGTTTATTAATTTTTAATTTTCAAAATTTATGATTTGATTTAATTAATTTATACAATTAACTTTAAAAAATAATATTAAATTTCTACATTTATAATCTCTGCACTTATCCCAAACCGGTCTCTTTTGTAAAAAAAAAAATAGTAACTCTCAAATTTGTGTATTTATATAAATAAGAGATTTGCTTAAGTAACCTGATTTGACACTTTTTTTTTTGTCTAATTACAGCATAATCGGAGCAGTGCTAATTGTGATTGGGCTGTATGTTGCTCTGTGGGGCAAAGGCAAGGAGATGAAGAAGATGAATCAATTAGTGCCATCAATAAATTCTCCAGAAGATGGACCTATCGAGATTACTGTTACTTCTTTAGGTGACAGAACTTCCATCAATAACAACGATAATAATAGTATTGTAGTCATGAGTAAAGATTCAACAAAGAAATATATAGGATAGGAAAAGAACAAAAATAATAGAAAATCAAAAAATGAAGAACATGATCAGAACATATATAGAAAGATTGGTAGAGAAAGAAGAAAATGCTTTAGAGTAAAGTTTTCTTATTTTCCCTTTTCTCTATTGTTTGTAATAATAAGCTCCATTACTTTAAATCAATGTTAAATTTTAGTGCTAAATCATGTACTTCTCAATGAAAGCAAGCACTGAGAATAGTTCTCTCCATATATTTTAGGTTCTTAAAAGTATTTTTAGAAAGTCCTATAATTTGTATTTTCAATAATTTAAAAAAAAGTTTTTTATATAATTAAAATTGTTAAGAATTGAACTTCGATCACTTAAATTAAGAAAAAAAGCTAGCATTCTATCAATTGCTTGCATACCAAATATTTCAAACAACCGATTAGTAGCTATCACTAATTAACAAAATCATTTGTAAAAACAAACTCTTTAAAGCAACTTACTATAACTTCTTAATTTAGATATCTTGAAACTACAGGCAATCGTATGGGTTTGATCTAAAATTTCTTCTATAACTTTATCATTACTTGTTTCAATGCATCAAGTTAAAGTTTAATTGAAAATGAAAGTAATGACAAGGATCAATAACTCATTTCATTAGTTAAAAGGCAAAGCTATAAGAAAAACTCGTATATAGTAGCTACATGTATATACGTAAACTCAAATTGGATGATGATGTATAGAAATTAACTATTATATTAAGTACATTCAATTAGTCTTCTCTATTTTCTAGGTGACATTCAGTTATATATATATATATATATATATATGAAGATAAAATTTGAAATATGAGAATGTGTTGTAAGTGTTAAATTTTAAATTTATCGGATAATATATTTTAAGATTGATTAAATAAATCAACTGATCAAATAAATTTCAAATTCAATGGCATTCAACTTTTGTTAAACATATATATGATACCATTAAGTCAAATTAATTATTTAAAATCTTCCACAACCAAAATGAGAAAAAAAAAAAAAAAAAGAAGCAATATTTAAGTATATAAAAATGACCATGTTCTAAAATTTTCTTAATTTCCAGCAACTGAATTAGATCCCTCTGGTTAAGGGCATCCATCCTTTCTTGGGACATGAATTCCTGAAATAGAAAGACCCACTTTCACATGTACGAAGTACTAGAATAACTTGTTTTCTTTTCTTCTTCTTTTTCTTAAAAAATCCACTTAATTTGCTTAATTAGCATGTGATCAATTCATCTCAGAGTCTCAGGTTCTCAGTTGCTGCTTGACCAACCATTCCCTTTTTATAAGTTTAATAATGTTTATTGTCCTTCATTTATGACCTCCAGGAGTTATAATAAAAAATAAATTGCAAATTACTAATGACTAATTAACTTTAAATAAGAGGGAGAGGAATTCTAACCGAAATTATAACTTTACAAACACTTGTTCATAAGTTCAAACTTCATTGTCTCAAAAAAAAAAAAAAAAGGGAGCCTAACTGTCGCCATATGTGGAAACATACAAGCTCCACTGCATGAAACCATCAATTAATAAAGGCAAAGTGGAAAATGGGAAATAAAATAAAGATAAAGTAAAAGCACGAAATTAAAATTTTATAATTAGTGGAAACTGAGCACGTGTTGGTGAGGTTCAACATACTTGAGTACGTCATGATTAGCTTCCTAATACGTTACAACTTACCCATAAACAGCTTTTATTTAAGCTTTATTTGAATAAGCAATAAAATTGATTATGATAAAATTAAAAGTAATAATAAAAATTATTATAATTATGATTTAAAAAAATTATTATAATTATAATTAAAAAAATTTTAATAAAAATTATATGTTAATTTTTTTTATTAAAATTAATATTTAAATTCAATTGATAATACAACATATTTAATCCTATCATATTAAAAATGTGATAAAATAGCTAGACAGAAACTTAATAACTGTAACTGTGATTATGTTAAACAGTAATTTACAGCTTATAAAAATAAAATCCTCAAGAGAAAAGACTCTCTCTCTCTTATACAAGTACTTTTTTTTATTTTAATAATCTGGAGTCTGGAAATTGCAGTGCTCAGCAAAGGAACAGAAGCAATAGAAAACGACAGGGCAGAAGCTTCTAAAAATCTTTTCCTTTCTCTTTTATGGTATATTAACATAGAAGAAGAGTTTTATTTTTTATTTTTTCATTTTGATAGAAGAAAAATGGGGAAGATGTGTAGTATTTTACAAGGATTAAAGCCAGCAATGGTGATGGTGGTGGTTCAAACAACGTTTGCTGGAATGAATGTGTTGTACAAATTGGCAGCAAATGATGGAATGAGCTTGAGGATTATCACTGCCTATAGATTCTTATTTGCTGTTCCTGTCATGGTTCCTCTTGCTCTCCTTGTTGAAAGGTTTGGGTTTTCTTTTACCTTTTCTGAATATTCCTTCTTAATTAATTAAGCTAACTTTTTTTTTTCTTTCTAAAAACATTACCCATTAAACAAAAAAGAAATTTTCACACTTTTACACTTCATGCATGAAGGAAAAAGGGGTTTTGTTTTTCTTCTTCTGTTAAGTATTTGATTTCTATTGTGATTTTCCATTTTGTGCATTTATCTACAAGTTGCTTGTCACTGTTTAATTGATTACCTATTCTTCATGTTATTTGGGATTCTCTTTTTTTTTTTTTTTTTTTGTGTATTTGCACATTGTATTGATAAGTCACTGTTAATTTGGAAATACTGTTCCAAGAAACATGCAAAAAAGCAGAAAAATTTTCATTATAAAATCAAAAATAAATTCTACAATAAAGAAACATGCATGATTGAAGGATTGCATACTTGTAGTTTAATTAATTAATTACAAAATGGAAAAAATAGAGCCCAAGAGATTTGGAAAAGAATATAATGTAAAAGCAAGTAGTTATTTTTGAGGCAGTTAAAGTATGAATCTTGATTATCAAAATTAGGATAAAATATTAAAAGAAACTATGAATTTATAATTTTATTTAAATAAGTTTTTGTACTCTTATTATACTTAAATAAGTCCTTTTTTTTTTTAATTTGTATCTAAATAAATTTTTATTTCAAACAAAAAATTAATTTATGTTAAAAGCTTATTTTGATACAAGTTTTAAGTTAAGTGTTTATTTTGATACAAATTAAAATCTAAAAACTTATTTAAGTGTAAAATAAAGATTAAAATTTTATTTAAATACAATAAAAGTGTAGAAACTTATCTGAATAAGGTGATAAATTTTAGAGTTTTTTTGTTATTATTTTAACCTTAAAATTAAAAATTTAGTACTTTATCAACATATCAAATTTGTTTTTATTTTTGTATAGATAAAAAGAAAACTTGCATTTTGGCTGATATGGATTAAAAGGTATTTTATGAGCTGATAGAGGAAAAGAAAGAAAATTATAATCTATTAACTTATGAAGAACAAACACAAATACGTAATATGAGTATGATACGAATATAGTAATACAATAATTTTTAAAAATTAAGGCAAGGGTGCAATATGACAATAAAAGAATTTTATATAAAAATATTTAATGTAAATATAACTATAATAAAAAATATATTTATTGATATTTATTGATAATTAATTTAATTAGAAAAATAATCTAACATTCCAAATGGTAAAAGGTGATTAAATGGGGCAATTGGATGTAAGCTCCAGATATTGGAGGTACAAAAAAGTTGAAGATCATTGGAAGATTTTGAGAACGTTGTAAACTAATTAAAAAATACTACGAAAACAAATCTTTATTCACAAACCTCAACTATTGAAATCAAATTCAAAGTTAAATCTTTCTTCTCAAGTCTCATTAAAAATTTAAAATCCATAACTTTGCTTCCTCCTTCAACCGCTCTCCTTTTATTTCATTGACCATAGTTAGTGCAACTGAGACCAATAAATTAGTGGCCCAGCCTTTACCATCAACTGAAAACTAGCCTTCACCTCTCGACTCATTCCACTTTCACTGTCAACCTATGGGATTCACAACAACTTTCAGTTCTTTGGCTGAGTGGAAAGAGCACAAAGGGACACAAAAAGTTGATGCTCTTCAAACAATACTCTTCCTTGCAATACATGGTGCAATTGGTTGGAATGGTGGACAAATTGGTAAATCGCTAAAATGCATAGGTGGATTGATGAGTGAAGAAAATGCACAAAGAGCTGTGTCATGTGTCACCCACCGTGTCGAAGGCATATCCCAACATGTCTCGACGTGTCCAATACGTGTCCGGCCATGTCGGACACATATCAGACGCGCGTATGCTAGATATCGGACACACGTACATTAGGGTACGTGACGTGTCCGCGCTTCCCTGGCTATGACCTTTCCTTGTATAAAGGATTTAGTTAATATATGTACTGAATAGTTATCTTTCCGTTGCACAGAACATAATATTCTATCACTCCCTAATTTTGTTCTAATTTGTTGGTCCGAGTTGGACTTGCTTTTTGTTGATCTTTGACATGTATTCTTTCTTGAAAATCAATTTTAAAACAAGCTTTAAAAATTATTATGCTCAAAATTTTAAAATTTTATTTCCCACGTGATATAATTTGAAAAATAAGCTAAAACTGAATTAGTGATTTTGTTCAACAAAACAAAAAAATCAAACTGGAAGAAATGGAGTGAATAAATTCTAAAAAGGGATTAAGTTTTTACATTTTAATAGTATGAATATTTGATTTTAATAGAATAAAATGATAAATGTTTGTTTCTAATAATGAATTGGTTAATTTCTATGCACTAACAACTTTTAATTTTTTTTTTACAAAGTAAATGCAATATGAGAAAAGAAAAAAAAAATTACAGATGTTGAGATTGAAACTCCAAACTTATTAAATACTATCTTTTAAGAGTAATTGTACAAATTAACTAACCAATTAAATTTCGAATTCAACAATTTATATAGTATTTCATTAAAAAAAACCATTATATATTCTAATCCTTAATTTATATTATTGTTCTGAATTTTCTTAATTTCACACAGGAATAGGCCAAAATTGACTTGGACCATACTCTTCCAAGCATTTCTTTGTGGGTTATTTGGGTAAGTTTTCTCAGACTTTTACCATGGTAGTGATTAGACACAAACATTAAGTATGTTATTATTCATACACTGCAACTTCTCAATTCCCCTTTAGGCTTTATAAACAAACAAAGTTTTTGTCTAGTTTGTGTAGAAAATTAAGTATTTCTAAACCATTTCCTTCTCTCCTTCCTTGCAGGGGAGCACTATCTCAGAATTTGTACATTGAAAGCCTGGCTCTAACATCTGCAACATTTGTTTCTGCAATGACTAATCTCATTCCAGTCACAACTTTCATATTCGCCGTTTGTCTTAGGTACATATATGCATCTTTCACTCGCCCCATATTTTCGTACATATATATCAAATGACATGATCAATTTTTTATCACAGAATGGAAAAGCTAGCTTTTGGAACAATGGCAGGGAAGGCAAAGGTATTTGGAACGTTAATTGGACTAGGAGGTGCAATGCTGCTCACATTTTACAAAGGTGTACAAATAAACATTTGGCCAACACATTTTGACCTTGTACATCATGGTGGCCATGGGCCGTCTTCATCACATCCAGGCTCTGCCAATACTTTGTCGGGTGCCTTGCTAGCTTTTGCCTGCTGCATCACTTACGCCTTGTGGTTGATCATTCAGGCTAAGATGAGTAAAAAATTCCCATGTCCTTACTCAAGCACAGCTTTGATGTGTACAATGGGAGCAATGCAATCAGTTGTTTATGCAGTTTGCTTGGAGAGAGATTGGAGCCAGTGGAAACTAGATTGGAATATTAGGCTTCTTACTGTTGCTTACGCGGTGCGTTAACTCTTTTACATTGAAGGTGAAATGTAGCTAAAGTTCTAACGTAATTATACATGGATTCTGCAATTTTTCCGTTGCAGGGAATTATAGTGTCTGGATTGACTTGTACCATGGTAACTTGGTGTGTGCGCATCAAAGGCCCTCTCTACGGATCCATTTTTAACCCTCTAATGCTTGTTTTAGTGGCTTTGGCAGAGTCATTGTTTTTAGAAGCAAAGTTGTATTTGGCAAGGTATATGCATATCAATTAAGAAATGAAATATTTTCACTGACAAACAAAATCCATGGAATTAGAGTTAGAGATGTTAATTTCTGGTAAAGAAAAATGAAGGGTTAATTGAGTTATTACAATCGTTTAACTTTTTTCTTCAATTACAGCATATTGGGAGCAGTGTTGATAGTGCTGGGGCTGTATGTTGTGCTTTGGGGTAAAGGCAAGGAGATGAAGATGATGAAGGATCAATTAGCAGCATCAAGAAAAGAAGTTCCACCATCAACAATATGCTCCCCGCAAGGTGAACCTGTCCAGATCATTGTCGACTCTACAAACAACAGCAATAATTCTAATAGCAATCAAAATAATGTAGAAGGACTCTAGGGTTTCACCAAATGAACACTATAACCTTGAAATGTATGAGTTGTTTCAATATTCATCAAAATAATGTACCATGAGATCAGAACTCGTTCATTTTCCATTTTAATACTCCACTAAAACACTCATGAGTCATGAGTTGACTCACTACATTTATGAATTCAAAGTAGGCGGCTACCTCAATGAATTGCCAGAGCCCCAAGTTGCGAAGGCCCATGCGGGCAAATACGTAGTTCAATGGAAGTTAAAGGGCAAATACAATCCGCACCCTCTATAAATAGAACAACCCAAAATGTTTGCCTTAATAACTTCATAAGCTTCATTCATCAATCCTCACTAAGAAGGAAACAAAGGGAAAGGTCACCAGTTAAGGAGAAAGGAATGATGATGAAGAAGATGATTGTTGCAGTCCTTATTTTCTGCCTCATCACTTCACAAATGGAAGAAGTTGTTCCACAGGTGGATTGCCTCGACGCTTGTTCTACTGGCTGTGTTCAAAGCAACAGTATGTACTAAAAAAAAAACCTTCCTTTTTCCAACGAATCAGTCCCAATTTTCCATGGCTTGGTTTTTCTTCAATCATCATTTTATTCTTTTGTTCTTCCTCTTGATTAATGCAGCAAGGCTTATGCAGCGTTGTGAACGCAAGTGCCAGATCAAATGCGGTCCAGGTAAGCTGTCTGTCAATCTCACCAGCTAGCCTTATCTTCCTTCATTCTCTTTTGGACATAGCTCAGCTGCCCACTTTTGATAGCTCTTTCTTGGGGCCCTTCTCCTCTTCACTCTATGTCCAATTGGCATTTTCGACCCATTAATAAAGTGGGCAAGCCTAGTGCAAGTTATAACTCTACCGGTCCAAATTTGATTTTTTTTTTAATTATTAAAATTTGTATTTGATCATTAAAATTAAACAATATTAAGTTACCAAATCAAGCGATTGTTGGTAAATTTGGCAAAAATCCTTTGTTAAAATGATTGAGTAACAATTATTGATATGTAATCGAATTTTTGCAGATTCCAAGCCAGAGGGGAATTTGAGTTAGCTCTTGGAAGATCAAGGGGGCATTAAGCATAAAAATGCATCAAATCTACTACATGTGTCGTGATAATGTCTAGTTTATGTGGTTGAATGAAGGCTGAAGCATAGCTTCAAGAGTTTGTCCTATCATAGCGTTGAACAAATACAAATTCAATAATGTATCCAAAAGATACAAAAAAGCAAGTTGAATAAGAAAATATTGATTATTATTGATCTTATCCTTGAAAATGGATTTTTTGGCAATATCTTGTACCGTTAAGTTCAAGACTCTGGGATGTCGCTTTTGTCTTTAACTCGTCTAATAAATTATATAGATATTTTATGTTGTTAAGGTAAAAAAACGTAAATATTTTTAAATATATACTTAAAAAATCCCATAAACTACTTGAATTTCTAAAAAGTTAAAAAAAATTGTTAATGTTAAATCATATGAAATTTATAATTTTAAAAATATAATAAAATTAAAAATATATTTCATATTTAACTTCTTACGATAAAAATACACGGATCGTTGCGGTCAATTTAAAATTTACAGGCACACTAATAATTGAAGCGTGCCTGGTGCCATAATTTGCGTCACCTAAAGCCCACACCGAACAGGAGAGCGTAAACGGAAAGCGGAGACGTGGCCGAGTATAGGGATTCTACAATCATCAAAGTCAAAAAATCGCAACCATATCATGCTCCACCGATGCCGATTGAACCTGTTAAAGCTAAGCGTTGAAAAAGCGTGACAAAGACCCGATCTAGTCAAATCAAAACTACGTAGCTTAGCACCATACGTTAAAAAACACCCTATAATTCCCCTAATTATTTTTTTTCCTTCTTTTACAATTACTATACATTATTTTATTTCTATTTACAAGTTTAGGTTCATGGAAGGTTCGGGAAAGTACACAGCGAGGGCCGCCACAGTTACGTAAATATAATTCGTACCAAAGAAATATAATATTTAAAATAATAAAAATAATATAATTTAAAATTTAATAAAAAATAAAAATAAATTTTATATTTTATATTTTTATGTTAATATGAATTATGATATATAATTTTTATATAAAATATGATATTAATATATCAATTATTAATATTTTATATAATATTAATATATAAATTGTTAAATGAGTAAAATTATTTAAATTAAAAAACGAGATGTTTTTAATTTATCCAAACTTATTTAATTATTAATTAGTATATAATTTATAACTATTGTAATATGATTAATCAATTATAATTTAATATTTTATATAATAAATAATTTATTTAAAATTTATATTTTTAAGTGATGAATTTTATATAATTTGTTATTAGGATTGATTTATTGTAAGATTATAATAAAAAATTTTAGATAAAATAATCTCCAATTAGGCAATTACCGTTTCTAAGAACAACTAAATCTATGTGTGACGCAAAAAGCAATCTCTAGTTCATTATGCGTTTGAACCAATTTATTTCTTTTTCGGTATTCAAAACATCTTTATTTGGTCACCTACAACACCGCTAAAACTACTTTAGAAATAGGTGTTTGATATTACCAAACTGCTTATGTAGTCCGTCGTTCATGTGTTGCTGTCTAGTCTCTGGTTGTGGGCTCTCTTTGTTCTTTTCCTTTGTTTTATTATCAAGTTTTAATTCATTAAATGTTTTTGAAAAAAATGTTGAAATTATAAAAAAAAAAAAAATCAATGCTTCAGAGAGAAAATGCTAACACCTACTTGTTTTGCATGCATCTATAATAAATGAGAGAAGGGATTTTCTTGAAAAAAATATGGGTTTTTCATTTTTGAAAAGCATTTTTGTTTAGTTTATTTTTTTTGTCATATTATTATGATTAGTGTTTTGCAAGTTTTGTTGTTCATTAATGAAATTTATTTTTCATAAATGGTATAAATGGATTGAAGAAGGACTAAGAAAAACATTCAAAAAGTTGCTATTTTCATACTGTTCAGCCAATTTTCCTGGAATAAACAAGCATTGGCTAAACCCAATTCAAAACTTTTTTTTAGAGGACGAAGGAAAAAACAAAACGAGATAGACGTTAAATTCAGAGCTGATTTTGTTTTGTTTGGTTTCTAAGAAAAAAAAGAAAGAAAAAAAAAAAAAGAAAAAAAAAATCTATGCCGTTTCCATCAGTCGGATAATGCGAACGGAAAAGTCAAACGGGGCATTGAGTCGTTAGTTGGAGCCTGCTTTTTAGCTCTGTAGCCTAGCTCATGCACCAAATTGAAATTAAATTTTATTAAAAAATTCACGTCATCCCCCATAGAGCTAAAAAAAAAATCAAAAAAGAAAAAGAAAATTATAGAGTAGCCTTTTTCACACTTCTCATTTATTTATTTTCTTGGCCTTGAGTTGAATTTAATGTGGGTCTGGAGTCCGGATCAGATAGAGAGAAGAGATCAAGCAAGAAGACTTAAGAAAAAGAGAAAAGAAAGAGAAGACAGTTTTTACTTCAATAGTTTTGACTTTGATCCCTTCCCAGTGACCTTTTTTTTTGTTCTGTTATGTAAAAAAGTTGTCTGGGTTTTTTGTTTTTGATCTTGTCTTTGGATTCGCTGCATGTTTCAGGTACATTAGAACGGATCTCATCTTACTTTTTTAAGATTTCATAAAAATCTCTGTTTTTTAACTGTCCGAAATCTTACAAGTTACGAACCCAGTTCAAATTACTTTTTTTGTTTTTTCATTTTTCTTTTTGTCTAAAGAGGGTTAAGATTTGATTATAATCTGGGTTTGTATGCAAAATTTGTTATTTTTTTGTTGCAGATCTTTGGTGGGTTCTGAAGCTAAAGCTATGGTGGTTTGATCAGATTCAGCTTTTAGATTTAAGGCCTTGACTTTTGGAAGGTAAATTATTATTATTATTATTTTGTGATTAATTTATGGTAAGTAGATAATACATTTGGGATGAGGTAATTCTATAATATTAGCTAAATCATGGCCATTTGTGGAGAAAATTTTCCTTTATGTGGGAAATTTGATGAGAACATATTGAAGTCGCTATCTTCCTTTTTCAAATATATACTTTGACTTACAGCAACAATGCTCAAATTATCTACTGCTTGCTTGATTTAAATGGGGATTTGTTTCTTAGTCTAGTTTCCAAGATTTCGAGCAATAATGTTCCTTCAGTTTGCTTGAATATGAAACATTTTGTTCTCATTTCTTCTCCTTTCAAATTTTCATCTCTCGCTGATAGTGAGAGGAAGAGAGAGGATGGGGATGGAAAACTAGAAAAAACGCTCCAGTGAAGATTGTCCCTGGAATTCTCCAAGCTGGATTCTTTGCATGCTTTTGTTTTGGTAGAACAGAAAATATCTTTATTCTTCTTAAAAGGCTTATAAATCTATTCAATTTCAGTCTCATATGTGATGGATAAACCGAGTTAATAGACTTTGTGGGTTCTTTGCATTATTTGGCTTAGTGAAAATCGATTGTTACTTGTTACATGATTAAAGTTCTAGCTATTCAGACTGCTGGGGTTCCATGTGAAGCTTGCCCTAGTGGTTATCTCTTTTTTCCTCCTTTTCTCTTTGGTATCTTTTCTGTTTTCTTTTTACTTTCTTTTCTTCTTTACTAGTAGATTTGTAGTGGGAACTGAGTTGTTTCTTCTATTGGCAGCCACAGGCGCATAACAGCGAAGTATTATTGCCAGAAATCTTCAAAACAGATTATAATTGAGGTGGCTTTGTCCTCTACTTGAAAAATGTCATTCCGTAGCATAGTTCGTGATGTGAGGGATAGTTTTGGGAGCTTGTCTAGGCGGAGTTTTGATGTTAGACTCATGGGGCACCACAGAGGAAAATCTCATGGTTCTTTACATGATTTCAATGATGAGCCTCTTGTAATTCAGAACAGCTGTTGGGCTAATCTCCCACCAGAGCTACTAATTGATGTGATCAAGAGGTTGGAAGAGAGTGAGAGCACGTGGCCTACTCGAAAGAGTGTTGTTGCATGTGCATCAGTTTGCCGATCGTGGAGAGTCATCTGCAAAGACATTGTTAAGAGTCCTGAATTCTGTGGGAAGCTTACTTTCCCAGTGTCTCTGAAGCAGGTAGGATCACTGGTTCATTGAACATAGATCAGTTTTTTCTGATTTGAGTTAATCTTACTGTAATTCTGTATCTTTGCATCTCTGTGGAATTATGCTGAAACATATAATCAGTTCTTACGATATTGAGAACTCAAGACTGCAACTCTAACTGTCTTTTTGACTTTTCAGCCTGGGCCACGCGATGGAACCATCCAGTGTTACATTAAGAGGGATAAATCGAAATTAACTTATCACCTCTTTCTGTGTCTTAGCACTTGTAAGCTTGATTCTCTGCAACCATTTGTTGAATTAAGTTGCTTTTGTAAATGTAGATGTGATCTTATCATGGTAATGCATATGTCCTAGTTAGGGTAACAAATGAACTTCCTGGCTCTGCAGTTAAGAGAAGAAATTCATTCTTTTTCCTTCATGTTACTGACGTTTGAGTGCCTTTTATTGGTTTTGGAATTCTCATCCTTGTTCCTGCTAAACCTATCTGCTCTTTTGCAGCCTTGCTAGTTGAAAATGGGAAATTCCTTCTTTCTGCTAAAAGGACACGCAGAACTACTTCTACGGAGTATGTCATTTCTATGAATGCTGACAACATTTCAAGATCAAGCAGCAGTTACATTGGAAAGCTGAGGTATGAATCTGAAACGGAATCATGACATTTTAATGCAAATACTGCTCTTCGGTTCTGAGGAATAGTTTAGCGATTCGAAAGGCATCAGCATTCTGGTCCTCCTTGTGTAGAACTAGAACCACTTCTTAATGAACCAATATAAACTTTTTACTGTAAAAGGCAGTAAATCTCCTTTTATTTTATAAAAGGAAACTCTGGCATGGGATGAACTTGGAAAGTTAAACCCATTCTCATCGGTTTAGTTCTGGAGAAGTATGCTTAATAATTTCTTTTATAACTCCCTTTTATGATTGATTTCCACTTTCCTTTGCCCAAATTGCCTTCTTTGATTTTAGAAGCTAGCTTTCAGAAAGATTCTCTATAACTTGCAGAAATTTTTATACTTGTGGAATATAAACATGAAACAAATTCTTTTTTTTTCTATACCAGATCAAACTTCCTCGGTACAAAATTCATAATATATGACACCCAGCCCGCCTATACCTCTGCTCATGTTCCTCCACCAGGCCGTTCAAGTCGAAGATTTTACTCCAAGAAAGTTTCCCCTAAAGTCCCTACCGGCAGCTATAACATAGCTCAGATTAGTTATGAACTAAATGTTCTTGGCACCCGGGGCCCACGAAGGATGCATTGCATCATGCATTCTATCCCTGCCTCAGCTCTTGATGCTGGTGGTTGTGTCCCTGGCCAGCCGGAGCTTCTTCGCCACCCATTAGAGGACTCGTTCAGGAGCATCTCCTTTTCAAGGTCTCTTGATCATTCTGTTGAGTTCAGCAGCTCTCGGTTTTCCGAGATAGGTGTGTCTCATGATGATGATGAGGATGGGAAAGTGAAACCGTTGATCCTCAAAAACAAGCCCCCTAGATGGCACGAGCAATTACAATGTTGGTGCCTGAATTTTCGTGGGCGTGTAACTGTTGCATCTGTTAAGAACTTTCAGTTGATTGCTGCCACACAACCAGCAGCTGGTGCACCCACCCCATCTCAGCCTGCCCCACCTGATATTGATAAGATAATCCTACAGTTTGGCAAGGTTGGCAAAGATATGTTCACTATGGATTACCGTTATCCCCTATCTGCATTTCAGGCCTTTGCAATCTGCCTGAGCAGCTTTGACACGAAATTGGCTTGTGAATAGAATGATAAAATGATAATTATGGCCTGCAAAACACATAAAAAGATTAATGACCATCTTTTAATTCTCTTTTCCCATTTTCATTATCTCCTGTTGCCACTTCTTCCCTTAGTTTGATCATTAGTAGGATGGAAAATTGATACTGTTGTGTTGTTGTAAGCCTAATTTTTATCTTTGGTGCCGCCTTAATGACAGCTTGCATCATGGTAAGCCCTAAGCCTCTTCACTTCTGTTGTAATTTCTTTATTAATTCATGAATGATTAATCAGTTACATGTTTCTCCTTGACGTTGTTGAGTGCTCATGATTTGTTGTTAAGAGTTTTAGATTTTCAATTTCAATAACCAGAGGTTCTTTTTTTTTATATAACAATTTTAAATAAAAAGATGGAAAACTTCTGATAAATAGGACTAGAGAAGGATAATTTCCATTGCAATGTGGAAGAAAATTTGCTAGACAGAGGAAATTGCCAATCAATATTTGATGCGAAGTAACCGATAAACTCCAATGGCGGAGGTGGTGGCTTTTCTTTCTGTGAAGCAAACTGGCAGTAGCAGTGATGATTCTGGAGAAGGTAGATGTGCTAGGCGTCAGCTTTGATGCTGTCAGAACATTGCTGGAAATGTGGGTTTGTTTGGTGTTCTGTCATTCATCATTCTTCACATTTTTAGCCAAGCACTACTTAATGGCACCACGTTCAGCTTTTATCCTGAAGCTATACGTAAAGGAATAAAAAAGCCAGAGTATCTTCCACTCGAATGTTCCTATGAATTTTATAATAAGAATTTGTATAGATTAGTTCTCAGGCCTACCACTTTTCCCTACCGACGTGATTCAAGGGAAAACGATACTTTACACAAATGAGGTTCTTTTTTTTTTCCTTTATAAATTTTATATATATATATATATATATATATATATTTACAATACCCAAGCAAAAGCCAAAAGCATTAGTTAAGGACCTGATGGTGTCCATCTTCAATCATAACGAGATCCTTCCAGGCCTCAACTGCAACAGAGTCCCAACTATTCCAAAAAGATTAGCCCCACACGAGCAAATCAAGCTTGAAACTTCTATTTTTTTCCATTTGGTCTTTGTTTTCCCTTCTCAAAAGATAAACCCACTTCAACTGGTTCGTGCAGTTCTTTTCTATATCTTTCATCTTGTCATTGGCAACAAAAAAAAAAAAAAAAGTAGCTGCCACAGTTACCATTGCATAGAATGAACTCGCCTAAGAACACGAGGTGGTCTCCGCTTCTCCTCAACAGGGATCAAGTTCTCCATCAGCTACAATTGAAATAAACCACAAGATGTCAGAATTGCTACGAACAGTCATTTTTCAAGCAAAGAGGCCAATCATGATTAGATTTTAGCCATTACCACATTGTTGAATCATTATTATGCCTATAAATTGTCATCGTAGCATATAAACATTAACAGCGATGTGCTTTTCATCGTATAAAACCCAATCAAACAAAAGTTTCATTATGATCTATGTAGTAAAAGAATTTAACCTAAAGTGATAATTTCTGCTAAAATGATATATAGGTGTTGATATTCTTTTTGCTTTTCCCATGTTCTAGAACAGTAACTGGCCTCAGCAACACTTGTATTATCCCCCACTAACCAGACAGTAACAGAATTTTTAAGATTGATTCATAGAACAAGCCGAAGACATCTTAGACATTTGAAACACACAATGGAATTAAAAGGTACTAAAAGAAACAGACATACCTGCTTAAACCGCTCTTTGTTCAGCTCAGCCTGAAAAAGTAAGTTGAGAAATCAATACAGAAGCATTATATAATACATAATGATGATTCATGTTTCAAACAGTCCGACAGTCTCTAGTTATAATACAGTGAGGGCCGCTATACCTCTTCTCTCAGCAACTGCGCATTCTCTTCTTCCAATTGTGTCACCATAGATTCCAATTCAACCGTATGAGCCTAAATGTTACACTTCAAAATATCATAACTAAAATTCACAATTTAATCACAGAAAAAAAGTTTTAAATTAATAAAAGAACAAAAGCAATAAAAGTTTGAATGAGATAAAAGCAACTATTGTTTGTTTCTCTTTGTTTCTCGGCAACCAAACAGAATTAACAGAGGAGAGCCTGACCTGTTTGCGTTCTCTAGACCTAGCAGCAGATTCTCTGTTCTTGATCATTCTCCTCTGTTTCTGCTGCGTCGCTTTATCCAAAGGTGGTTCCTCCACGGCGCGTCGTTTTCCTCTTGCGCCTGCGCCTGCTGGCACCAATCTCCGATGATCAACGCCGCCGTTGTTTCCAAACGCCGAAAACTGACTTCCACCAGCGTTGATAACGACCGGGTCCATAGTATAAACCCCTGCATCTACTCCCACCTGATTAACAACTCCTCCGACATCCTCTTCTCTAACCGCTCCAGCTTTCGTCAAAAAATCCTCTAGAGTCATCTCTTCCGATGGACCCCCCTGTCTCTGATCACCGCCGCCGACCACGATGTCCTTCCAAACCTCGTCGACGGACTTGTTCGCCACATCCTTAGGAATCGAGAAAATACCTTCGCGTGTGATTGACGCGCCGAGGAACTGTTGGTGGGCGTCGGAAGTCGTTGGTGGCTGCGGTGGGGACAAGTACATGTTTTTCAAAAGATCGTCCATGCTCATGGAATCAAGGCCATTCTGAGATAGGTTTTGATTATTTTGTTGGTTTTGAAGATCGACGAGGAGCGTGGAGGGCGAAGAGCACAGAGATTGCTGACGTGGCAGATCGGGATTCGTCTGTGACGTGGTCGTTATCACCTTAGACGATGCCATGACACCCTCGAATTTTCAGGGCTGCTAACTGTGCACTGTTTGTTTATTTTCTTTCCCCTGATTGGATGGAAAAGGATCAGAAGAATTTGACCGTAAAAAAATTATTAGGGCAGCGAAAAGCAAAGCTGGAAGAGTAGAGAGGTTGGCCAACGGCTTAAATAGAAAGGAGAGAGAGAGAGAGAGGAGAGAGAGAGAGAGAGAGACAGAAGAGAAAGGAAGGAACTGAGGAAGGAAAGAGGAATCCGCGAGATGGATAACGTGTGTACTCGCGGCAACAAACGCACAATTGTAAAATGTAGGGGCAATTATGTCATTGTACAAGTAGGGGCAATTATGTCATTGCACTACCCGGATTTCAAAAAATAGGTTCAAGGGCATTTTCTGGGCTATAAGAAATATTAAAAAACGTTCAATTCACGGCATCGTAAATTTTAAGAAAAAATATGATTTTTGAAAAAAATATAATATTTAGAGATTTTTTTATTTTTAAATATTTTATGCTTAGATTCATTTATTTAGTTAAAAAAATTTATATATATATATATTAAATTTTAAATAATTATTATAATTTTTTTGATATATATGATGGTACTTAAATAACTAATTTAATTAATTAAATAAAGTTATTCAAAAATTTTTTTATCAAAAACATCTTAAATAATTTCTTCTAATTTTTTTAAAGAAATTATTCAATATATTTTTTGTCAAAAATATCTTTAAAAATTTCCTTTCATTTTTTGAAATTATTTAAGACATTTTTTATTAGAAAATTTTTTGAATAATTTTTTATAAAAAATTAAATTAGGTTATTTAAGAGATTACTGATCAAAAATATATTGAATAATTTTTATTCAATATATTTTTGATCAAAAATATCTTAAATAATCTTCTTTCAATTTTTTAAAATTATTTAAGGTTTTTTTTTTAAGAAAACACCTTAAATAATATTTACAAAAAAATTAAATGAAATTATTTAAGACATTTTTAGTAAAAAAATGATTTAAATAATCTTCTTTAATTTTTATAAAAGAGATTATTTAATGTATTTTTATCAAAAATACTTTAAATAATTATTTTTAATTTTTTTAAAGAGAATTATTCAAGATATTTTAAAAGTTTTTTAAAAATTATTTAAAATATTTTTAGACAATAAAAACGTCTTAAACAAAATTTTTAAATAAAAAATTATTTAAAATCTTTTTAAACAACAAACGCCTTAAATAATTTTTTAAAAAATCTTATGGCTATTAAACCATAAGGAAGTAGGGATTATTTGATTCTATTCCAAGCTTTAAACTTTATATCCAAAGCCCTGAACTATTTTTAAATGAGTCAAAAATTCAAATTCAAATCCATTTAATAAATCTAAAATTCATGTTTAAACCTTTTTCGATTTAAAATAAAAATTTAAATTTAAATAAATAATTCAACTCTTAAACGGAAGGCAATTGCTCTGTTGCTTTCATTGCAAATCCATTAATGCCTAATCCTCACCTCTTCCTAACCGAACGGATGAAAATTTGTTCAAGATTTACATTGAACGATGCAATTTTGCATTTAATTTATCTTTTCATACATTTTGTACAATAATATTAAGTAATTACTTCATTTTTATCGTAATTGATTTCTTAATATAGCATTCAACATCCTTTGGTGTTACGAAATTTAAAAAAAAAAAAAATAGGAAGGGAATGGAGGACTTTATAAAAGACAGTTTTTTTAAACACATAAAAAAATGTTTTATAAACAAAAATAAATAAATATCTCTATTTTTTTATTTTTTAGTAGTTTCTTTGGCTGAATGAATGGCACTTGACCCATTGCATCTTCTCCTTAAAGCCCATTGGCCACCGACTCAAACTAGCCCACCTTTAAAATCTGGATTATCTCTCCTCCAGCAAGCCCACAAATCCCCACTCCAAGAAAAAAAAAAAAACCGTAACCAACCGTACTAAAGCTTGGATCTGAAGATCCAAGGTTCCAAACGCCAGTGATCATCTGGCCGCCTTAAACCTCTCTTTTGTTAAATCTTTTTTATTTCCGTCTCAGTTCTCAGTCTCCACTCTCCAAGCAGTTTCAACAGAATAGAAAAAGGAAAAGACATGGCCGTGGACAAAGATAAGCTTCAAGAAGAAGCCTCCATTGTTCGTTTCTGTAAAATAATTCTCGGTTGGGACTATTTTCGCCTTCTCAAATTCTCCAATGTACGTCTCCCTCTGCTTTTCCATTTAAATTTCAGTGCTTTTTTTATATATTTATTTTTTAAAATTTTATTGTTTTTCTGTTTGGAATTTGGAATCAGAAAAACCACAAAGCTGCGGTGGTGTCGGGTGTAAAAGAAGTGAAGGATACATACAAAGACGTTGATGATTACTTGGCTACTTTTGAGCCGCTTTTATTCGAGGAAGTCAAAGCTCAGATTGTTCAGAGAAAAGATGATGAAGAAGGTAGGGTTTCTCTGTTTGGTTTGTGAGAAAATTTTTCCAAAACAATCTTTCTCTCTCATGTTTCGTCATTAAGCATTGCAGTGACGAATTGGAAGCTGAGGCTGGTTATGGAATGCAACGAGGCCGATGGATTTCACTTACCTGCCGTTACTTATGAAGCAGACGAGGAAGAATCAATAGCACAGAATGATCTCTTGCTGCTTTCAAAAGAGAAGGTAATTGAAGCTTTTATTGATCCTTGCTTTCGCTATTTGCTTTCTTAAATGTTGCTAAAAAGCTAAAGTTAATGATGGAAAATAAGATAATAATTTATTAAAAATATACAAATTCTCTAATATCTAAGGCCAATTCTAATAAAATTATTCTTTATAAAAATAAAACGTGCATTTTATTCTTCCAAAATAGTTAAATTTTGAAATTCAACAACCCAAAAGTACCTAAAATATTTTAGTGTGTTATGGTTCTGTTATTATTCTATAATTATATAGACACCTCATTTATTTATGCAAATCTATTGTTTCTTTTATGTATTATTGGCTTATATTAGTTCAACTAGTTTAGTCTGGTAGAACATATAGTTCATAAACCTAGCCATGTTATTTGTTTTCTTATTCTTGATCTTTTCTGGTTATTTGGTGACTGAAGGGGATTTTTATTTGTTGTAATAAGGGAAAATATGTTGAATTCTTGATTAGGCTTTGGCATCTTGCAGTTTAAAGAGGGTAGTAAGAAACTCCCAACAACATATGCATTTGCATTGGTGGAGCATAGACAAAAGAATCTACTTAGACTCAGAATGAATTTAGCTGGAGAGTTCACACAAGTAAATCCTGATGTTGAAAAAATTTCTGAGAGGCTGATACGTATGCAAGCTCTTATTACTTCTTCTGCGAGTGCAGTGGAGAAACGCGTGTTCAGTATAAAGGTTATAAGATAACTTTGTCTTTCCTGCTTTGACCATGCAAAGGTTTTAGTTGTGTCCACATTCTTTATGCATCGAACACATCATATATATTGATAGATAGAGGTGCAAGTGAATCCAATATCTGCTGAGGCATTTAGTTAATTCAATATGTCTTGCAGATTTGTAGTTTATCAACTATTGCACGTGAATACATAGCTCTGTGTTCAGTTGGTTCTCTTCCTTTCAAGGATTTAATATTGAAAGCTGCTGAAAGAGATTCTGGTTTCGAAGACCAAGCCTGGAAAATATCTGGATCCCTTCATGATTATTTTAAAGAGAATCTTAATAAATCTCAACAGGAAGCTATAGATGTGAGTCTCTAGTTAATTTATTAATCCTAGTTATTTAGTTTTCTGATTAGTCTGTGTTTTAGTATAAGCAACTATTTGTTTAGATTCTACCTTATTAGCTTACACATGACCAAATAGTTATTTCATTGCAGGCTGGTCTGTCTCGTAAAGCCTTTGTCCTGATACAGGTTCAATATAGCATCTCACTTGGTTTCTTCTATTTGTTTGTTGGCTTTTTTTTTTTAATTTTAATTTTAATATAAAAAGAAATCTTTCTTTCTCTTTTGACACTACCCTATGACATTCCAATTTCTTAAATCATTTAGTTCTTTTTTAAAATCTGGTGCAATAATCCATTCATTTTAAAGTAATGCAGTCACTCTTAAGTACTAAATTGAACAAGTGAAATCAGTGGATGTAAGAAGAAGTGATATGTCCATGACAGATCAGCATAAAATTGGTTTTTTTGATGAAAGAAAATAAGATGTGACGTTTTGATGTATAGGCTTTTGCATTTAAGTGCTTCACACTGAATTGAGATGTAGACAGAAGACTGAAAATTTTGATGATTTATCTACTTCATTTTTTATTGCATTTTCTTGAGTTTACCTTCAAAATTCCTGCTTTATAATTGGGGGTTGAAGTTGAATTCTAATGACATTTCTCCAGCACGGTTGGTGAGGTATAATTAACCTTGTTGGAAAGCGTTTTTACTCTTTGTTAAGCAACATATATTGAGAATATGGTATGTACCTCAATTTTTGTTCGTTGACCATGTACTTTTTCCTAGGGGCCACCTGGAACAGGGAAAACCCAGACCATCCTTGGACTTTTAAGTGCTATTTTGCATGCAACTCCAGGAAGAGTGCACTCCAAGTATAAATTTTGCTTTCTTTATTTTCCTAGATCTACAGTAATGTGTCATTCTTAGAAATAAACCAAAAACTGCATATATTTGATACTCATGCTTATCTGCTTATTGCAGGGGTGGATTGCTTGAACTTAATCGTGGACCAGAACTACCCATAGAAGAAAAGTACGTATTGATTGTTAACTGAGGACAATCCATCTTGTTATTCTAATCCAATTGACAGTTGATCATGGATGTTTTGAATTATTTTATTCTCTTCCATGCATGTTCAGTTGGATTTTGTGTAGAAAGGTTTTATGTTCTCCTAAAATGGTCATTGAATTGTGGAATTTTTATGTACCGGAAAGGCTACCCTCATGTTTCTCTAAGGAAAAATGAAGATTTCTTTCACTCTCTTAGAGACATAATTTAAAAAATTTTCAGTTTTAGCTCAATACAAAAGGTCAGGTGCAATGATGTTCTTAAGTTTTGTGTTTTTTCTCATTGAGTGGCTGCTTTCTAGAGAACCCATTCTAGTGTTTTTGAACCTGGAAGTGTGTTATACAATTGAGTCTGGCATATTGAACACTAATGTTTCTGCATTCTGCAGATACAAGCATTGGGGACGGGCTTCTCCATGGTTAATGAATGCTAATCCCAGAGATATTATCATGCCCTTTGATGGTGATGATGGTTTCTTTCCCACCTCTGGAAATGAGTTGGTAGGCTTAAGTCTTGCTATTGGTTTTTGATCAATTATCATCTTCTAACTTTAATTGCTGTGCAGAAACCAGAAGTAGTTAATTCCAGTCGGAAATATCGCATGAGGGTGCTGGTATGTGCACCGTCGAACTCTGCTCTTGATGAGATTGTTTTCCGCCTTTTAAAAACTGGTATGACTTTTTCTCACTTTCTTGTACTTCTCTAGAGAAAAAAGTGGGTTTAAATCTTAGGCTGTAGTTTTTCAACATTCTTCAGCTGTTCCTTTTTTCTATTCTATTATACTAGACTTAACCCTCAAGTTTTAGGTGGAATGGTTACTATGGACTAGATTCATAGAGTAACTTAGTTTAAAGCATATTGTTGTTCATGAAACTTGGAGACTAGGAAGGTTATTTAGTTTGATTAATATTGTTCTTTAACAACTTAACCAAACATTTAATTTGATTTACGTTCCTCTCTAGCTAACTGGATTTAATATGTATATTTAATCTTTTGCTCTGTATTAAGTTCTTGAAAAACTAAAATGTAAAGGTAATAGACCAAACAAACTAGGTGTTCATCTGAAAAGAGTGAATGAAACCGGTTAAAATAGTTTTGCTTGACTTTAGGTTTTAATATGTTTGTGAAAACATGGAAGTGCTTGACTAGATATTTAATGTTGTAAATTTTTTTGGAGGGTAGGGATTATTGTTGGTTTCAAAGTTGTCTGAAATGTTTTTTAAGTGCATGTGCATATTACTTGGCTATCAATCCTGATACAGTTTTACATTATATTTTAATGTTTTATACAGGTGTTCGTGATGAAAATGTTCGCACATATACTCCTAAAATTGTGCGGATTGGTCTTAAACCACATCATTCTGTGGAGGCAGTCTCTATGGATTATCTTGTGTGTATTTAGTTTAACCTTCATAACTTCATTTATTATTGGTATGATGAGCATGATCACTCTGCATAAGTGTTAGATTGAAGTTATTATGAGTGGAACTTATAATCACAAGGAAGCACTGTCAAACCCATCAAAGCATTCTATCAATTATTCTAGATGTCTCCATAAACCTTAAAGTGACATGATGAATTCAGTTGGCAAAGGAAGAAGTATTCCTGAAAGTTACCTTGATGACTATAATTCAATAATGATAAGGAAAGTTTTCTTTGCAGGTTAATCAAAAGCGTGACTTGGTTGGTGATAAGCAGAAACAATTGTCCACAGCTAGGGATATAGACAGTATTCGTGCTGCAATTTTAGATGAGGCTGCAATTGTATGTAAATCTAACTTGTCTTGTTGGTAAAGTCCAACATATGGTTAAATTAACCGCATCTTTGTATGCCCGGCAGGTCTTCTCTACTCTCAGCTTCAGTGGTTCAGCAGTGCTTACTAAACTGAATTCTGGTTTTGATGTTGTTATAATAGATGAAGCTGCCCAAGCTGTAAAATTCTAAAATCTCTTTTATTCTTGTTGACGAATGTTTGCCTTTATTTGAGTGGGATCTTGAATAAGCTGCTTCAGTTTTTCAAATAGTGGAAAGAGCAGAACTGCTCTTTAGTTCTCAAGATTACTTCTCATCGACATTGGACATTGTTTATCTGTTCTTCAAAGGCTTTAGAGGAACCTTTTTCAAGAAACTTTTGCTAAGCAGTGACTACTCACAACTCATCAATTTTTTTATCCCTAGGAATACATTTGCTAGTGATTTAGATGATGCAAATCTCTCTCTTTATCCCCATTTTGTGCTGCCATCCTTATCTAGTTATATGTTCTTGAACAGGTGGAACCTGCAACTCTTGTTCCTTTGTCCAGTGGGTGCAAACAAGTATTTCTGGTATATTTATGATGCTTTTTCCCCTTATGGCTTTTTATTCTCTACTCCTGTTTTAAAATTGTTGAATAATGATTGTTGTATTTCTCACAGATTGCTGTGAATACTTGTAATATTTTCTTCATCTAACAGTTCCTTGAGATGGAGAACTTCTATTTTCTTACAATTTTGAAGTGGGAGGACATAAGTGTTAAGTAATTGTAACATGAAATTGTTGAAGTTATAATCATTTTAAATGAGCATAATTAAAAATGAAATTGGTAAGGTGGTTGAGTTGAGTGTTTCTGTGTGGAAATGGTGATTATAAAATCATTAGAATATCAGTGCTGGTGATGATAGCAATAACCTGCCTTTAAAGATGGTGGTGGAAAACTCTTTGGCAGTTGTAATGGTGAAATAGATGGTGCTGGTTTTCTTGATGCTGCTGCTCATAATAGTGGCCAAGTTTGTGATTTTGGTGTTTAAATGGGAATAGAACATGATAAAAAAAATGCATGTTAATGTAGAAAAGCCCATAATTCCTGTATGACAGATTACATGTCAATTTTGAACTTGTAAGGTACATTTCTAGTTTGCACCCATGGGATATGCATGTTTGATATTTTCCCGAGTAAAGAAAATTGGCATTTGAAACTTGCATATCTCATCTCAGTTTGAAACACTGTTGTAAAGATCTTCATTCTACATAGTCTAGGAAAGCTTCAGGGCACATGTACCCAATTGTTTAATATTTGCATTGTTTACCACTGCATTTTCTTGGGCAATGTTATTAGTGCAGTTTATTTATTTACTAATTTTCCTTAGATAGGTGATCCGGTTCAATTACCAGCTACTGTAATTTCACCCATTGCTGAGAAATTTGGGTAAAACACTTGATCATGTTGCAAAGGTGGCTTTATTTATATCTTGTAGTCCCTCTCTTTCTCTCTCATACACATGTCTTAATCTTGAAGCTATGGCACGAGTTTGTTCAAGAGATTTCAGAAGGCTGGTTATCCTGTAAAGATGCTTAAGACCCAGTATCGAATGCATCCTGAGGTAAGATAATAAATATCTATTGAAGTTACTTATCCAAATGAATAAATATATACCGAAGCCTCATAAGTTATGTTTTTAACTAATTATTTATTGAGCTATAGTATTTTCTTTTAACAACCAAAATACTGTTGATATGTAAAAATTCCAATGAATATGTGGTTACCCTATTTGGTGTAATGAGACCTAGTTGAGCAGATTGTAGATAATTGGATATGCTGTGCTGAACTGGATTAATTATTTAGCAGCTTTATGTCTTCCAAGTTTGTTAGTGTCTAGTAATGGTTCCTGGTCTTAGTAATAATGCTTCTTTTTCATCATGTAGTTCTCTGTTTAGGATTAAGAGTGTTACATAATCAGGTAGCAATTTAACCTTTTACATGTTGCTGTGTACCATGTGTCATCTTCAATTAGATAATCTATTGTTGGCAAGATTGATGAAACATATAACGAATTAAGAGTGTTACATAATCAGGTAGAAATTTAACCTTTTACATGTTGCTTTGTACCATGTGTCATCTTCAATTAGATAATCTATTTTTAGCAAGATTGATGAAACATATAACTGTTTATGCTCTAATTTATGAGGCTCCCAAAAGTCCACTTGATAGTTCTTTAAGTTGATCTAATCGATTTGTTGAATAGATAAGAAGCTTTCCTTCAAAGGAGTTCTATGATGAGGCATTAGAAGATGGATCAGATGTTCAAGATCAAACTACTCGTGACTGGCACAAATACGGCTGCTTTGGACCATTTTGCTTTTTCGACATACATGAAGGGAAAGAGTCACAACCCTCAGGAAGTGGGTCCTGGGTAAATATTGATGAGATTGAGTTTGTTCTTGTCTTGTATCATAAATTGATAACCATGTATCCAGAGCTTAAGTCAAGCTCTCAATTTGCAATTATAAGCCCTTACAGACATCAAGTCAAGCTTTTGCAAGAGCGATTTCAGGAAACTTTTGGGGTGGAGTCAAAAAAGGTTGTGGATATTGGTACCATTGATGGTTTCCAGGTAATCTCCTTATGTTTTCAAGTAGAACTGCTTTCATTATATTTGGTTTTTCTTAGGCACTGCCAAGTGAATTGTTGATAATTTTCCAGTGACATTTGGTATATAGTTTGTAAAAGCTCTATTCTTGATATTTAGTTGATTTTATCTGCGTTTACTGTTGTAAATTCAATTGACAAGTAGCAATGTGAAAGTTCCCAAAAGAAACCTTGATCAATTGCTTTCATATCTTGAACTAGTTCATCAGCCAGCATATATCTAATAGCTCTAATTGTAAAATGTTGGTACTTCTTAAGAGCTTTGAAAATCAATAAATAAGTTCTTAACAAGTTATTAGTTTACAATTGTGCCTGGCTTGACAAATAATGCAAGAAGTTTTTGAAATTGATTAAAGTGTATATCCCTTTATGTTATTGTGACTTTGGTTAATATTCTGCATGATAGCTCTTAAGATTAATGCAATCTCTGCTTTTCCTTTCAGGGACGGGAAAAGGATGTTGTAATATTTTCTTGTGTTAGGGCAAGCAAAGATAGAGGCATAGGCTTTGTGTCTGATTTTCGGCGAATGAATGTCGGAATCACCCGAGCAAAGTCTTCTGTACTGGTACTATAATATACGAAGTCTAGTTGAATTAAAAGTTTGGGTAATCATCTACTTAATTTGATTGTTTCTATAGGTTGTAGGTTCAGCATCAACATTGAAGAACGATGAGCATTGGAGAAACCTAGTAGAAAGTGCTGAGAAACGAGGGTGTTTCTTTAAGGTGGTATTCTTTTTAATGAATTATTTAAAAGTTCATATTGTCTACATATTGGGATATAGAGTGTGATGTCAAATGCTGAATATGAAATGTATGTGTTTTTTTCTTTTTTTTAATTTTTGGAAGGAGATTGAAACTTGCTTCTTGAGCGAGGAATACATGCACTTATCATTTAGCCAAATGCTTGAGTTAGATTAGAATTTCTAATATGGAAAATGTTTTCAAACTATTATTGTGCATGTGAATGCTGGTATCACGAATAATAGTATATAGTACTAGTTTTTTAGGAAGGAAATCCTATCATAATCAATCGTTTTCAGCCTCCAAAATTTATCACTGTTTTGATTGGAACACAAGCTAAGAAAAATATCCTTGTGCAGGTAACCAAGCCCTATGTTTCATTCTTCAGTGATGAGCATATGGAGTCGATGAAGGTTATTAACAAGGATGCACAAATGGTGGATATAGATGCCCCTGATAATGAAAATAATGTAGCCTACAATACGGGTGGGGATGCTGATCAAGGGCCAGTAGAAGACAATGACTATGGAGATGGAGGTGGAGATGAAGGGGGATTTGATGACGACTAAACGAAGTTTTAGGATGGGTAAATCTTCAAATGCTTTGTTGACAGCCTAGACGGGTTTACAGGCAATTACCCCCAACTGAAGAAATCCTTCTTTTTTAGTTTTTAGGGGTATATCTTATTAAAACTTAAATCCGTTCTAAAGCGTCTTTTTTGCCAAAAAATTTTTTTTATAACAATACTTCAATTGTTTAATTATAATTAAATTACGAAGTATGTAACAATTTATCATTTATAAATATGAATTTTATATAGAATTTTAATAATTTTGACATAATTTGAAAATATAATTAATTTATTTATTATATTAAAATCATTATAATTGATTTTTTTTTTCTAGATCGTTCTAGTAATCTTTATAGTATTGCGTTATTGCGATGAGTAGTTGGTTACCAAAAAACTAAGCAACAAGGTAAACAGCCTACCGATTAACTGATGAGTTTGCATGACCAAATGTACTGCTCTATTATTTCGAGAAAATTATTTTCAATAAAAAAACCCGGAAAAGAAAAAAAAGCTAAAAATTGTACAACATTAATATCCTACCTACTTTCCTACAAAATTGCGGCCTGGAAAACCAATATAGAATGTTCCTGCAAGTCAATTTTCCGATCAAAGCTTTAAATAATGTCTAAAGACCATCTGTACTAAGACAGGCGATGAGTAGAGCAGCCATCCACTGGTTTGTTTCAATCTAAAGCTATAGTTATGCAGAGGCTAGGATGCTAGATGCTCAAGCAGCTTTCTGGAATGGACCATCAGATTTGAAACCTTGACGACGACCTCGTCCCCTTCCCCTCCCACGTCCACGACCTGATTAGCCAAAATGGTGAATGGAATCATTATACTGAAAAAGACATGTAGGTATGCGTTGAAATGCAGGTCCTTGTAAATTTTTGGGATGTTGCAACAAGGTTCTATGATAACCCTTCTATGGAGATGTATATATTTTATTTTCTTTTAAAACAATAGTAAAAATGTACAAGCATTTGGAAGAATTATTACAAGAGAAATTATTTATAAATTACATCCAATAGACTGGATGTTTAACCACGTGCAATTTATGATTTAGTTTTGTTGTTAAAATAACTTATCCACCAAAAGAAAAATCTATCAGCAGTAACCATATGAGGACATTATCCGAAATGATTGATAAAATGGATTTTTTTGGATTTGTTTCTTTTAGAGAAAAAAAAAATCAGAGAAAACAATTGGTTTTGGGACCAGAACAGCACATCTAAAAGTATGCATCGGAAACAAAGACTTACCACGACCCTGGCCAGGCAATGGTCCTGATGGACCATTACCATTGTAATATCCTGAATCCCGCTGTATATTTCCACCACCATACCCTCTCCCACGCCCTCGTAAACCACGTCCCCTCCCACGACCCCGACCTCTACCTCCATAACCTCGCCCACCATCCCATCCTCCATTCCTGTACTCCACCATCCCATCATTGATATAACCTGCACAAGTAAAAATCTTATAAAAATCTTATGTAATTGTCAGTTCATATGTGATTAAATAAGTTCATTAAAAAAAAAAAACACTATTTGATACACAGCAAGAATCTGGATAACAGACATTTCCAATCAATCATCATGCTGAAAGCATTACCATCTCATTCCAAGAATAAACCTTAAATCCAAACATCTGTCCTACCATTATTGAGATATGGAAAGTAGCCTATTGGCTACAGAACCTAGCAACTACTTATAACAAAAGAACATAACCACCTTGTTGTCAAGATTGTTGCCATCCACTACACGATTTGTCACCAAAAGCATATAATTGAATCTTAACTTCACCCAAAGATTAGAAATCATTCTGATTAAATTCAAGTGTCCTTAAACTTCACCAACCTAAGCAAACTGATGTTCTGAACATGTTGAAAAAGCAAAATAACAAAGTTGAAATTCTGAATGGATTTTAACTTCCCATTGTCTCCAGGTACTATAAAAAAAGAAAATCTCTTTGCCCAAACAGACCTTTAATGACTCAAATTTATGTGAGTTATTTCACTTTAGCACAAAACACACCATGGTGATTCTGTATACCTCCATGTTTTCCTTGACCACAATATCTTTGCCTTGGATGTTAGGAGAGATCTCTAATTTTCATGAGATAGGAGTATACATATCAATTCATGCCAGACGAAGCATAAAGCAGAAATACATAATCAATTACAAATTATGGCCTCACCTCCTTCATTGTCTTCAAACTCGGCTGACAGTTTCACTTGATCAGCTGGGATTGGAGGTTGATATCTGATATCAAACATGTCACAGAACGACAGAGCAGCATGCCAAGACAATCATTAGTAAATAACAAGGTTAAGTGCACAATGTTGTATTCAACTTTGTGAACTTTTAAATAGAGATAAGTAGTGGCCAGTTACCCTATTGAAGATGAATCCAACTCTTTTTTAGACAAAGTAATTGTGATTATCGAAACATGGCGAGTGGTTTCTAGGCTGCGAAGCAAAACATACATTAGAAGCGTTCTAGGAAGAAAATTAATGCCGGACTACCAGAAAGAATAGGAAATCTAGGTTCTTACGGAAGAAGGCCTTCTTCTAGTGGTTCCCATGTGTCAGTTATGTCCATTGATCCAGTTGCTGTGTTCTGATGAAGACCGACAATCCTCCTCTGGAATAAGTTAGGAGATTTTAGCACAACTAAAAGAAAAGGAGGTTATTAAGATCAATCATATGTCACCAATTTTTATCTCTGCTTATCTTCCGACTTGAAATTGAAGATTTGGAACAGAGATATAACTAAAACGACACTTCATCACATATTATGAAAGTGTTACTATTAACAAAATGAACATCGCAGCTATCTCAGTGGCAAAAGCAAATACTGGACATGACTGTTCATAGACCAAATCGTAACAACAAAATTAAGAAAAGTGAAACATTAATAAAAAAAGAATCAAACAAGCACCTTAATTAATTCAGCAATCATGACCGTCTTGTTGATAGCTCTGCCCGTGGCTTTTAGCACTATCTCATTTGCACCTTTCTCCTACAAAACAACACGAAATCAAAGCTTTACAACAGATTATTCTATACCTACAAAAACACTACTTTCTTATTCCACAAAATAAATAAATAAATCAACGCCCTAGTGCAACGCCAATATCCAACGGCAAAAGGGAAAATAAAAGGGAAAATTAAGATGGAAGAAAGAAGAAAATACCTGAAGCAGAGTCATGGCGTAAGAAATGTAATTCCTCATTCTTCCTTGAGCTGTAATCCTTAATTCATTCTCGTTTATTGGTGTCTCAGCCTTTGGCTTCTCCACCTTCTGGTACCGATCCATTTTCTCTCTGCTAAACCGAAAACACGTGCTTCAAATCTCAGTTTTTTCTCAGAAACCAAACAGAACCGAAGTTCGAAAGTGATTCAACAATTAATTTCTATCCAATAAAACGAAATAAAAAACTTTTTAAAAAAGAAAGCGAAATAGAGATCTAGGGTTAGAGAAGATGTTAACGAAGAACTAGAGTTACCTAGCGAAACTGAGCGGTTGCGAGGGCTTGGAGTTGGAGAGTAGTTTCGAAAAGAAAGGCTAAAAGCGGCTCTGTTTTGAGAAGCTATTTATTTGGTAGAGTCGACGGAGGAGTTATTGGCGGGGGTTTTAGGGTTTAGGATGAGAAACGGGGGGTAATACAATGTTGAAACTTGAAATTGAAATCATTCCATCCTTCCCATTATCCACTCAGAATTTGACACGTCAACCGTCCACTCTCTAGCCAATCAATTTAAACCCTCCCTGCAATCTCCACCGCTGGATTTAGTCACACGTTAAAGAGATTTTTTTAGAAGAAAAAAATCCTTTTAATATATAAAAACTAGTACTAGTAGGGTTTTTTTTTTTTTTTTCTATTTTTTATATTCTTAATTCAAATAACACGATTTTATTTTTCAAAATCAAACGGAAAAACAAAATCAAAGTTCAAGTCAAGCAGAGCTTTGGATAACCGCTTTTACTCAAATGGCTACAAATAAAACATAGTAGCTAGAAAAAAACCAACATTTTTTTTTTTTGTTGAAGCTATGAAATTAAATATATATATATATTTTTTACGAAAAATTAAAAAATAGATAAAGCTTTCTATCAAAATATATTATATTTAGCGACCAAAGATAAGTAAATATATATCATACATTTGAAATAATTTTAACAAATAATCATTAATAAAATTTAATTCCAAAAATTTTTTATAAAAAAAAATTAATTTTAATCAATAAAATCAATCACTTATTAAAAAAATTAAATGTTTTATCATTCATTAATGGACCTTTTTCTTTTTTATTGTTAAGAAAAGAATTGAGCATAAACAAATTTGTCGGTTCCATTGGACAAGGCACCAGTCACAATGGGTAATGACTGACTAGGATTCATTTAAGCAAGAATTTTAAATCCTAGCAACCATGTCCCCAAAAAAATAAATATCTATTATCAATTCTTTAAGAAACATTAAATCCCACTTTGGGTCTGTCCCCTCCCAACTGGTATCTTCTATTTAAGAGGTAACCCAAATAAATTAATATTTGAAAGGCAGAAGAACACATTCAGGAGAGATCTATTTCTCTCAGCTACAAATTTGATTCAAGAAAAAAAAAAAAAAAAATCAGGCCACGTTTACAACGAAGAAGCTGCTCACCCAAATGATGGATTGCCCCACTGCCCATTATACCATGGCAGAGGCACCACTGCAGAAAAGAGAAAGAGAAAGATATAGTTGCCGGTTGGATTAGGAATAGTAGCCTACACCAGTGCACATGCAACTTTACAATGCAATAATAAAAAAATTTTCCTTCCAACTGAAGAAACCAATACAAAAATCAGTAATATCATGGGTTGGGGGGCACCAGAAATTGATTTCCCATTTAGAATCTTCTCATCATCATGTCTTTGCCTAAGCTTTACTTTTGTAATACTCCAACCATGTGAAGGGATGGCTCTTTCTTTTTCCTCTTCCCCTGAATTCTAGCCTTCATTTTTGCTTTTCTTTCCTTTTTTTTTTTTTTCAATTCTTTCTCAATCCATTTGCGGACAGAGAATAGAGAACAATGAAAGGGAATGAAATACCTTTACCAATTATGACTATATGAGATAGAAGGTTTTGCTTAAACACTTAATCCATCAAATCCACACTGCTTGTAAGTAAGAGACTGCTTCCTTGGACTAATCACTATTGCACAATCCACCGATACCTGCCAATGGCAACACCATTTTACTTGTTAATTCCAAGAAAAAGATTTAAACAAAAGAAAGTCACAGGATAATGTATGTTAAAACATTATCCATGTAATAATGTAAGAGTGAATTTCAAAATTGATATGCTATGCTTGCTCCCCAACGCAGAAAAGGGAATCATGGAGTTTTAAAGCATGTAGTTATCACATGGCAATTATGAAAATGAAGATTAAGGTCAATCCACATGGGTCCCTACAATATAATGAGATAGACACAAAGTTAAAACACATTTAATACATTATTAAGACTGCTTCATGGCTAAGAAATGATATATATATATATATATATATATATATGAGATTAGATTGCAAGAAGAAACTAAAAAGAAAGCCTAAAGCCTTAGAAATGGATAGCCCAGACAAGGAATCTTCAAGCACAAGTGATTTTGAAAAAGGATAGAGGTTAAAATTTTGGATCACATAAAATAATACAAGGGTAGTGGATCCCACATTGCAGAGAGGGAACTAAAGTTGGTCCAAGTGATAGCCCACCAGTGACCAAAAATCACATGGTGAGAAATTAAAACCAGACTTTTTTTTTTCTACCCATAAATAATCAAACCCAATTTATAATATTTGTATTCTCTTCTGTCTTATGCCACTACAACACCAACACCACCATGCTACACATACATACCTACTACTGATCTCTCAAATCAGTAATTACCCAGAAATAAAAATCCTAAAGCAAAGATAATTCTCAATCCAAATTGATAAATAAATCCCAGAAATCATTGGATTACAATGGCATCGAATAATTTACAGTGAGAAAGGAACATTTTCATGGAGACAACCAGACAGGACAGGAGCCGATTAAGGTCAAAGGATTGAGTGAAAAAAGGTAGCAGCACGATGGCCATACGCCATTGGTGCGTCTTGGAAAAGCGCGTGAGAAGCAAGCAAAGAACCGATGTATTAGACAGCAAATAGTCGACACTGAAAAGGCATCAAAAACTAGTTACATTCCTCTAAAACAATGAGCATCGATTTTTTAATAAAATCACATTTCTGTCCAAATTGGATGCAAAAAAGCAAAGTATAAAATCGACAAAAGAAAGTATCCAAGAGAGAAAAGTTGGTAAAAACAAACAAAGAAAAGGAAAGTAGAGCGGGACAGCGAGTAATGTTGGGGGGTGGGGGGGTTTGGCTACAACCAGCCAGTGCCGACCGACCGGGCACCACCTCCTGCACCGCTCTCAAAGAAAACAGGGTCTAAAAAGATTAATAACTTGATACTATAATTAGAAACTAGTGAAGGATTATGAGACAAAACGAATGGCTAACATTTGAGAAAAGAGGAGGACAATGCTGTAATTAGAAAGGGCAAATGTCTCAAAGATTTTAGCTCCGAAAAGGGAAAGTTAAGGAAAAAGAGAATGGCTTGACCTGAACGCCAGGAGAATCGAAGTCCAAGACACGGATCTTAGCGCCAACATCACCCAAAACTCTAAGCTCAACACGGTCATTAAGCGAAGCATCTTTGATTAAATCAGCTGCATCAGCTTGCATCAAGTTAGCTCGATCAACAGCGATGGTTGCCTCCACGTTTCTAGTGCTGTGAGCTTCTTGGTAAAACCCAGGAACTGAAGCTTTTCCCAAAGGAATCCCACGGTACATAACGGTGAAGCTAGACTCGCCGTACTTGATCCCTACCTTATTGGGATTCACCGCTGTGAAAAGCATGTGGATAGTTAAAGACAAAGAAGCGGTTGCTGGGGTGGTCGAGACGGCGGTAGCGGTGCCGTCGATGGAGGAAGGATTGGATGTGGAGATGCCCATGTATTGGACCCCTACTTGTTGGAGATCGAACTGGGGTTTCTTGGGTTTAACGGCGAGGACGATTATGAGGACAACAGCTAGTACGAGAAGGACTAAGAAGGAAAAGAGAAGGAAAAGGCAGCAACAACAGCCTCTAAAAGAGGCAGAGGAAGAGGGAAGAGCGAGGGTAATAAGCCTGTTGGCGTTGGGAAGGTGGGGCGGTGAGGCCGTGCCCTTGTTGGTGGTGTTCGCCGTTAGCTGTTGGACGCATTTGTCTGGTATGGGGTTGATGGTTTGGGTTCATGTTTGTTGGTGGCATTTGCCTTTTTCTCTAATTTTCAAAGAAAAAGGGTCCCTCTATCCCCCTATCTCTCAGCCTTTCTGGGTTTTTTGTATTTTTGAAGCTACAGTTGTTTCTTACTTTCCATGGAGAGAGGGATGGAGAGGGGAGTGGATAGCAGGCTCACCGGGATGAGTTCTGCATTTTTTTTCTTTTGGTGACCTTGCTTTGAGACTTGAGAGGGTAAATTAATAGGAAAAGAGATGGGAGAAAAATAAGTTTAATTAATAGTCAAATTAGAATTTCACCGGATTTGTAAGTACGGGGATTAGGGGGAAACAAAATTTGATCATTTTTTTATTTTTTTATTGAAGCAAATAAACTAAAATATATTAAGAAAATAAAACATAAACAATATAAAATAAATTTATTTGAGCTTAAATTAAATATTATCATTCGCAAATAAAAAAAATTCATATTATTATTATTTCATACAAATAAAAACAAAAATTATACACAATGATATATACTATCCAGGCTAATATCTTGAAACAAAAGAATTGAAAAAGTAACATGTTACACTTTTCACAAACAAAGCCTAAAAAAATCTTAAAAAAAAGTGTTAACCCAAAATAATTTTTAAGAATTCTTTTAATATATGGCACCATAGATATTCTTTGAATTTTAGTAAAAAAATAATTGAACTCTTGCTCTTTTATTGTATGTAAATGAAGTTTTAATATTTTTTTTTGTTATAATTATAAAATAAATGAAAAAGGTTCATTTTACCTTTTTTTATTTCAATTAATTAACCTTTTTTTTTTTTTTTTGCTAGAGCGAGTGATATTGTTTAATTTAATTTCTTTGAGCTCAATGTTACCGGAATAAAGGGTTGCGGGCTCTAAATATAGGGAAAAGAAAAAATTAAAAATAAAATTGAAATAATAATGATAGATTTGATTTTATATTTTTTTATTTGATTTAGATTAAATTCAAATATTAAATATATATTAAGTTTGAATCAAATTTTAAATTGTAATGTAAAAAATAAAAAAAATAAAATCGAATCAAATCAAATTATTTATTTTATTAATTTATATATTTTTTAAATATTTATAAATAAAAATAACTATTTTATATATATCTATTTAAATATATTAAAATTTTATTAAAATAATATATAAAAATTTTAAATTTAAAGTTATAAAACCAAATTGAATTGAATTAAACAAATAAAATTCGATTCAAATCAAATTAACATTAAAAGAAAATTGATTTGAATTTGAATCGAATTTTAAAAATTTATTATACAATGTATTATTCAAAAAAATCAAACTAAATTTAATCCGATTCAAATTATTTTCACTCTTATCTAAATATTATCAAACTTATAAATATTTTAATATTATATATAAACAAAATACTGTACAAATTTGCATTTAAATATTTTTAAGCCCAAGTTAAATTAAAACTAAAAAGAATTGAGCTCATCCGAGCTTGAACTCAAGCTCATCCTCAAATTTATACACCCCAAACTTCAAAACTTGATATATACTTTGCACATGGATAACGGTGATAATCCTCCACAAATTTCTAGATTCAAACTCGCAGCTATTGTTTAGATAAATGATAATTGGCATAACTAGGCCGTTCACTAAAACATCTCAAATCTATCTTGTAATTCGCAAGGAGCGGGAGAAAACAAAAAGAGGAAACATGTCAAAACCTAGAAGAAAAAACAAAACAAACCTCTCAAAGATTGACCTACGAAATTGGTTACATTCATTGCTGATCGGCATTATCAGGGGGTGGACTAGTGCTGTTAGGCTCGGCCTCATCTTTGGCTGTCTCATCTCCCCTCCTACCATTATCATCAACACCTAGAGCATCATCCATCAGATCATCCTCCCCAACATTTATATCTTCTACATCCTCCTCATCCTCATTGTTTCCACCAGGTATCTTTCTCTTCTTTGGTCCATGCTCAAGTCTATGGGTATCCAATTCTTTATCCATTGTTTCTTGCAGGTTCATGTCATTGTTTCCTTTCCAAGCTTTCCTAGCATTTTGCCACCTCTCCAACTCCTTTTCAACATTGGCAACATAATGTTCTCCAATCTGTTTCTGATATTCAGACAGTTCCTCTTTCCTAGCTGTCTTCCATTCTAAAAATTCCTGTTATGCAAATGCAAATACATATATTATCATGAATATCAGCATATTAATAGAAAATTCCAATTAGACAACCTGACCCCGAGGCCCCAACTCCACTTTTATCAATGTATAAAACCATGAGTTCTTTTCCAATTAAAAGTCTTCTACATGCCTCAACTTTTCTAACTTGTTGAGTGCTAATTCCAAATTCTAATTCAAGTATTTCAAGGAAAACTTTAAACATAAAAGTTTGCTCCCTGAAGAGGAAACACAAAATAAGGTGTAAAAGTGAAAAAGTTATGTCTGGAAGATGATTGTTGATATTTACAAAGATTAGGGTGAAAAACAACTGCCCATCTTCCTTATAAAATTGATTTTGCAGGGAACTCTTTCGGAAACAGAGTGCATTTATTGTAGCACAGTGCCGATACACACTACCCCTGCCACTCTAAAAGACCGAAATTTGAAAAGTAATAATATCATCAACTAGACAGTTGAAAAGCCAAAGGAAACAAAGCCACCCTTTTTTGAGGAAACTTGGTTTTTCTCATAAATATTCCACTTTTCTCAAAGTGCCTCAAGAAAGACGGCAGAGAACTTGTTCTTTTCGCTGCTTACAGATGGTAGCATCTTCATCCAACGGTTTAGTTGGCAAATAATATATTGGAGGCTCTGTTTTAGTCCTGAAAGACGTTCCAAAACCAATCAAAATGAGTAGAAAATGATAGAAAAAGAATTGTTGCAGTCTACCTAAACCCTAGAAAGCAGGAACATTCAGGTCTCCGTTGCTATAACACTGCTATGCACATGAATAGAAACTTATCTTTGTCTCAATAAAATTGTGAATATGGACACTTTTGGACCAAAGTTAAAAATAACCTGCATCAGATTGGAATACAGAGAGGCTGTTAGTACTAGAGCCCTTTATTGTAAAAGAGGATAGTAAAGCGGAAACTATTTTATGCCCAAAAGGTACTGACACCATAGCATGGTAAAAATGATAACAGATATACCTTATAAAATTGTTAATCTTTTTGTGATGCTCACTCCACTGAAGAAACAACAACGCCAGCTTCTTTTCTTCTGCCTTGGCAGCCACACGAGCCCTAAGAGTCTGAAATACAGATGGGCAAACCCATAAAAACAATGAGAACTGTTTGCTTCCTTCTACATAAACATATTTCAATGTTTACTAACAGCAATATATGTGATCAATGACAAACCAGATCTCTCCTCCTCTTTTCTGCAATTTGTTCACGCTCCTGTTGCCTCAGCTTTTCACTTTCTTCACGAGCTCTTTGCTCAGCCTATGAAGAGATCCAAATATTTAATAGTAAATCTCCATACAGCTCAATGTATTACTTATTTATATTTTAGACAGCTAAAATTTGGAGTTTCATGGAAACAAAATCATCCAAAGTTCTTTCCAGCCAATTAATGATAAGAAACCAAAGATAAAAAATTACTTGATTTACCAGTGAAACTAGCAATCACAATATGAAATAGCAAATGCTTACTCTCTGCAAAGAGTTTGACCTCCGCATATATGGCTCTCTCCCTGAAAGCTGCTTATCTTCTTTCCTGAATCTCTGCAGTAATGCAAACAAAATGATATTGTTATGAATCTACAAAAAGATTACAGACAGAAAGTGTTAACATTAGCATTAAATACAAGCAAACGCTCTTTTTTGGGAGGAAAGGGGACTCTAGAACATGAATACCAAATAATTAACTTGTGGGATTTTTTAAAATGATTGATTATCCAAGTTCTGTATCAAGAACCAATTATATAAAACCACCCCAAAAACGGAGATGAAGGTTAAACTTGAAATCCCAATCCATTAAAAGGAGCGCTACATCCCAAGTATTGAGAAACTTTGTAGCTCGCAGTTTCTGGAAAAGCCATTTCTCTAGTAGACAAACAACACTTGCTTTACTTAACAAGTTTGGGCAGTTTGATCTCAATCTATGGTAGGAAATTCAACTTATAATTTTGCTAAGACACAGCAACTACTAAATAAATACCTCCAAAGTCCCTAAAAGTTGCCCCAACATTCTTTTATTCCTATTAATCAAGCTTGGATCCTCATCCTTGGGCAAATTTCTTGGAACATGCTCTGCAATTGGAGCTTCAGCATCCTAACCAAAAAGACAAAAAACACAACAATCAAAAGTATCACTAACACCATAGACCTAAAATATGCCACAGCTCAATAAAATTAAAAATTATAGTTCAGAGGAACCTTCTTCACTAGTCTTTGATTTCCATCCCTTCTAGACCAACCACTCTGCTGCAAAGTTGATATCCGTCTATCACTCTCATTAATTATGCCAGATCCTTCAGCGTCGTCAATAATCTCCCCATCTTCCACCTTCACTCCCAAATGAAGAAAGTCACAATTGAATGTTTGAGAACCCATAACAAAAACAAGAAAATTTTTTTTTAAAAAGCTAGGTAACTCAGTCGACTCTTACTCAATAGTTACTAATTAACGAAATTCAACAAGAAAAGGTTTACCTTGACAACAGCGGACGACAATCGCCTCTTAGCCGGAGGTTGGTCTTCTACATCAGTCCTATCCGCCTATGACAGACAAAAGCTAACCCATTTAAAAAACCACTAAACCCTAAGCAAAATAAAAAGATAATTAGCCCTGAAACAAAGGGGAAAGAGAGAATAAGCAAAATTCACAAAGAAATAGAAGCATACAGGTCCAAGAAAGCCTCGCTGACGAACACCATTGGCGGCGAAGTTACGAGGACTGATACCTGATAATCCTCCCCTTCGGAGCCCACGAGGATCCCTCAGTCTCTCAGTAATCTTATATTAAAAAAAAAAAAAACAAAAAATTGAAATCTGTATCTAATGGTATATGAAAACGTATACATAAAGTCGTATGTAGGAGAAGGAAAGAGAAACCTCGCGCTGTTGGCGATGGGGCTCATCGATCTCTCGCTGGAGTTCCTCCGCTGTCTTCTCGACTGCCGTGCTTCCCATTTGCAATCTTTATTTGTTAATGGTAAAACGAAAGAAGAAACTAAAAACCAAAAAAGAGGGAATTTTTTTTTGTCTTATTTCTTTTTTTAATAAATAAGGGATTTGATTTTATCCTAGGATTATATTAGCGTACGGTAACAAAGATGTTCAACTGTTTCAAGTTCGATTGCTAAGGTTTCTGTTCGGCAGATAGGTTCTGTAAGAAAAAGGAAAATAACAAGCCCATTGAAATCCAAACCCATCTAAAACGACATACACCGATCAAAAGCCCAACTTCGAAATTAAAGCCCATTAAATCCAAACCCATTCAAATCATAACCCATTTATTAACCTTTTTTAAAACGATTGATTAACTGCTTTTATTACAAAATTAAAAAACTTAAATGTAATAAATTTGACGAAAATAATATAATATTCTTTTAAAATTTTTATTTCAATTATTTTTATTCAATATTTATACAGTATGCAACATACACACCAAAAATAATATTAAATTTTAGCATGAAAACTGTGGATTCAATAAAGTTTCTTTGTCACCATGATCACAATTTAATTTATCAGTTGTATTGCTTTGTATATATCACTTTGTATGTAGCTTTAGTAACATTCCATTAACCAAATCATTATCTTATGTTTAGTTGAATATTTTCGATATTTATACAAATTTCATGTTTGATTCAATGATCCTTTGAGGCTGTAGTAATAAGAATTTAGAACTAAGTTGATGTGTGATATTGATGGGTTAATCAAATTTTAACTTCATAAGTTTATACAATCTATAGACATTCCAATATGCCTGAAGGTCTACAAGATTAATTTTGGTAATTAAAAAATAAAAAATAATAAAAATAAAAAAATGAAAAAAAGTGGTTGAATTTGTGAAAAATTGAGTTGAAGAGTTTAGGATGGATTGGAAGAAGTGGAATGAGACTAAAAGTCTAGAGAGAATTGAGATTTCTATTCAACTTTGGATTCTGTCTTATAAATATAGACCCTAGTTAAGCTTAAAAAACAAGAGAAAACAAAAGTAAAAAAAAAAAAGGGTATGTTTAGAAAAATAAAAGATTTTAAGACTTTTTTTAGGAATTTTTGGCAGTTTCTTTTTTGAAAAATTTCTGAAAAAATTTTAGATTCTGGTGAATTTTTTGACAAAACTTAAAATTTCATGCGAGATTTCCAAGTTTCTAGTAGTTTTTTTCAATTTTTGGTAGAATATTCAATCGGATTCTAAGTTTGTAAAGAGAAAAATAGAGGAAAAAAAAAGGATAAGAGAGAGAGAGAAAAAAAAGGGATCTGATAAAAAGTCAAATTTCAGTCTTATATACCCTGTTAAAATTATGTCGTTTTGAAGTTTAATAAACCCTAGGATCTACACGTTTTGCCAACAAAGCGATCCGACCCTATCATAACCTGGTCCATTGACCAGCGTCCTACTTGAACCTAACTGCTAAGCTGAGCCAAGCCACATGCCAAGTCACACCTTCAAGCCATTTTTTGCATCTGGAATCGAGCCGCGCTGAACCCTCCAGCCGAGCCGTTTTGTTTTTTTAGTATTTTTAGTATTTTTTGTGTTTTTGGTTTTTTTTTTATTTTTTTATGTGTTTATTTTTTTAGTATTTTTGCATGATTAAATTAAAAAAAATAAAATAAAAAATAGAAAAAATAAAATATTTTGAGAATAAATATTAATTATCCAATAATGAAATTTATAAAAATTTCAAATAGTAAATTTCTATAAAATTTCTAGGTAAAAAATTTTATCTAAATTTGTCATAAATTGTGGAATAACTTAGATAAAGTTTTAATAACAATAATTAATATTTATTTTCAAAACAAAAAATATAAAAATTTTGGAAGTAAATACAAATTATCCAATGATGAAATTCTTAGAAATTTCAAATGGTAAAATTCTTAAGAAATCTCTAGGTGAGAAATTTTCTCTAAATTTGTCTCAAATTGTGAAATAATTTAGATGAAATTTTAATAAAAGTAATTGTATTCTTTTTCAAATAAAATTTTGATTGAAAACATGTGACAATTATTCACTGATGAGATTCTCAAAAATTTCACATGATAGATTTTCTAATAAATTTTTATGTGAAAAATTTCTTTAAATTTGTCCCAAATGGTAGAAAAATTTAAATGAAATTTCAAGAAAAATAAATTTATATTATTTTCTTTTAAAAAAAAGAAATAAAAATAATTTTTAAATACACTCAAATGGTGAAAAAAATTAGAAATAAAAAAAATTCTAAATAGGCTCAAATGATGAAAAATTTACAAATTCAAAAAGAGAAAAAATATTTCTAATTTGACCCAACTAGTAGAATAATTAGATATATTTTCAATAAAAAATAAAAAATAAAAATAATTAAATAATTTTTCCAATGGCGAAGCCTCTTCAAGGAAATAAATAGGATTTTTGAATATTCTTGAAGTGAGAAAATATTTTTAAGAGTTTTACCAGATTGATGGAGAATTTTAAGAATTATTTTCAATATTTGAATATTAGATTTTAAAACCATTAGAATCAAGACCATATGATAAATTTAAAATAATATAGTACCATCATTTGGATGGGCATGTGAGGATATTATAATGTTCTCCATATGTAACTAAACTTTTGGTCATTGTTCTGGTTTATAAACCTGAATCTATTCTTTTAAAGACCCTCAATCAAGCTTAGAAGTTCCTTAAAATGATAGATTTTTTATATGACCAATCACACATAATTAAAAAAGATTGATGATAACTTCATTCATTTGTTAAGTCTAGCTATAAATTTTTGAATCTATATGTTATGACACAATCATTCTTAAAAAATATATCTAACAAATTTGATATTCAAATCTTTTGCAACACTTTTCCTTATATCAAATTATGACCTCTTTTGTATCTAAAAATCAAAAAATTAATGATTATCCATACCTAATTGATTATATATCTAACGACACATTGATTTATTTTAAATTTGAAACATTACTATTGTTAGAAAAGAATATTACATTAACAGCTATCATTAATATATCAATGTTCATCTTTATTTTTAAAGTAAAGCAAAGATGAAGGTTTTTGTCAAATATGATCATTTGATACGGCATTTATTTTTCTTACTTATAATTAGGTTTTTGGTAATTATCACTCTTCATATATCCAAATGTGCACCTTAAAAAAAAAGGTGAAATTTTCTATCATTTGTGTACTTATTTCAATTAACGCATGTAAACATACCTAAGAATGTACAATGCTACATTTTCATAATCAAATACTAGCAAAGAAGTATTTAAAAAAGAACCACACAGAAGAATATGGCAACAAAAAATTAAGAGGAAACTTCTAATCCATAATTTTTCTCATGGGCTCACAAAAAAAAAATATTTTGTGTTGAAATATTTAGGTGAATAAGAGCTTGGCATAATTTGATTAAGAATATACACTTTATTAAAGGGAACTCCTATGTATTGCAGTAATTAGACTATACTTCCAAACATAGGCTCACGTCGTCTAAAACCAACAATTTTCGATAATTTCGATTGTTGAAAGGAACCATTACCCAATAATTTAATATTTGTAAATGACACTTAAAAGTTAAAAAATAACTCAACTCTTAGCAATTATTTTTCCTAAAACCTACGATTCTAGTTCAGCATTAATTATTACATGTAGATCAAAATCAATTAAAATTAAAATTTGACTTGACAAATTTTAGTATATAACTAGAAAAAGCCAAAAGAGAGTTGCAACTCTCAAAATTCTGAACATTTTCTGTTCTATGAATAAAGCACAGCTGTGACTTTGCCTAATTATAAAAGAAACCAGGATTTATTGTTTTATGTGGTAATTATACAGCTAATAATCCAATTTATTTCAAACATTGGGTTTGACATAAGTAATTAAGGGAAAATTTGTGTTCCCATTATTGAAATTCAGTACCATTTTCTTTAATTGTTGGATGAGATAATTTTTCATATATCTCGCTTTGTTTTTTTTTTCTTAATAACAAAGATATGATTTAGGGGAAGAAAAGAAGAAAAGGGAGTTTGATTAAAGGAGAACCAACTCTAGACAAAAATAATGGTATGAATAGCATGTGTACCACTATCTATAAATATTTATATACCGCTGTCTAAATTTCACTATTAACCTCTTACCCTAATTATAATTAGTTTCTTGTTGGACCATTCTTAATTTCATATAATTTAGAACTTAACCTTACACAGATTAAAGTTGCCTGCCAAAATTATCTATTTATAATTATAATAATGAACGCCATTGTAAATATTATAGAGACGAGAAATGTTCTATTATTAAGTTTTAAACCAGGGATTCAAAATTATAAAATTTTAAAATCTAAATTTTAGCTCAGTTGATTTATATATTTATCTTAAAAAGTGACATACAGTAAATTTAATATTCAAATTTCAACATTTATAACATTTTTTCTTACCCTAAATTATGATTTCATTTGTTAAAAAAATTATAAGATTTTGGATTTTAGTCTGTATATGACATTGTGTAGATGATTAATCAGTACTTGCTCTTAGAATTAAAATATATCAGGCCATTGCAAATGTATGACACACTGAAACTTTGTTTCTTCTTGAGAAGCAAATATATGACACTTGAGTATGTGTATATATAAATCATAACTATAGTGATCCACATTAAGTCATTTCCAATTCTCCATAAATTTTCAAACAATTTGGCAAAACCAAAAGAAAAAAAAAATCATTTACAGGAAATCATTGAAACGAAGAACCATATGATATTAAGTTTTTGTTAGCCTAGCTAACAGGCATTTGCCTTACGAGAAAAGCTAGAAAATTAAGGGAGTAAATTCCACTTAATAATTCCATAAATATAATTTCATAGTAATGATATTTTACTTGTTGTATGTTCTTAAATCTCACATCGATTGAGTTAAATTACGTGAATTATATATGAAATTTCACTAATAATTACGATAAAAAAGAAGAAATAAGAAAAGGCAATATTTTAGTATAAGTCTTATTGAGGGAGAGCCAAATGTAGACAAGATAAAAGTACATAATCTTTGTATATACCCCTTAATCTGTCTTTGAAGTTTAGTAATAAACAAAGTAATTTTTGCCAACTTCTAAGGTGAATGGTGAATGGGCTTACCAGCAGTTCCCGAGAGAGATTCAAGTACCCAATTGTTGGTAATAGAGCTCCCACTCTCTCCCTCCCTACCAGCCAATGAAGAACCAATAGGAATAGGATGAGTTGTTTGGCTTTCTTTATTTATTAGAGATGTAATAGCAGCCGCAACTGCAACTCTAAATTTAGGATCTGAAGCAATTGCTGTAACATTTTCAGCTAATGACTTATCTTCTTCAGATTTCCATTCTCTCTCGTTTGTCCTAGAGCTGGTACCAAATGGACTGTTGCTTGGTAAAGGGTTAGCATTGTGATAGTTTAATCTGCTTGGCATCCAAGGAAAGGCTTGTTGATGAGCTGATGAATGGTGGGAGAAAGAGCTAGCTGTTGGCCGTTGATTATCAAAGTGATGATTGTTTGTGAGGTCAAGAACGATTCCTTTTGAAGGGTCGTTAAGGTTCATGTTCCTAATGCTTGATGGATGATGAGAAGCTGATGAGTTTAAGAGATAAGGGTTTTGGTAAGGGAGGGAGGCTTGACTGAAGTTTGTGATACCATTCGAGATAGGGTTGCTTGAATCAAGTAACATAAAGGAAGCTGCTGCTGCTGAAGCTGTTGAAGCCATGGCTGTTGCACCAACAGGGAGTGGATGATTGTGAGTTCCTTCATAAGTTGTAATCAGAATGGACATGTCCTCTAGGCATCGTTGGACCTAAATAATCAAATAGATCAATTAAATTCAGATAAATAACAATATTAGCATAATAAAGCTGCAAATTTTGAAAGACATATATATATTTATATATATGAAGATTGTACTTGTTTCCTGACGGGGCATCCTGGAGCTACCGTGCAACGATAGTAGGCTCGTGGGCAAGGATTTCCTTTAGCAATTTTTTGACCATATTTCCTCCATTGGCACCCATCGTTCATCTGCAAATATGGAAGCAACTAATGTTTAACTTTAACTGATCTCCAAGCATTAAGCAAATGAAAAGTTTAAAGTGATCATATAATCAATTCAACTTACTGTTGCTGTTTGACATCTTGCTCTAACAGAAACCCTAGCTTTCCTGTTGGGTGGGGAAACCGCATGGCTTGTGATTGCTGATAAATGACTTTGGTGAAGCTTGTTTTGCACTGATGCAACAATTGGGGTTTCTTGACTTTCTAATTCCTTGTGCTCTTCCTTATGATCTTCTCTTTCTCGTTGACTGGAACTGGTTTGTAGCCTTAGTGACAACCCTAGTTCATTCCCTTCATCGTTATCATCTTGTGATGGCGACCCATGTTTTTGATTATTGACATTTAAGTTTCTTTGAATTGCCTGCTGTTGTTGACTTGATGAGTTTTCATTTCCATTTAGAGATAGAAAGATTTGAGGGTCCTAAAGATCAAACAAATTATAATTCACAAAGTCAAGATTCATAGTGCATGAAAAACGAAATTAAAATAAACAAAGAAAATAAAATGAAAAAGAATATTTATTATTACTACCTTCTTTTGGTTGTTTTGCTGAATCACAGAAAACTTCATCTGGAGATCATAGTAATCCTGCATGGTTTTCTCCACCACTTTCCTTAACACTTTATTCTCTTCTTTCATCCGATTCATCTCCATTTGAAGGACAGACAACTAGTATACAAATACATACATAATAGAAAATTAAACTAACATGCATATTCAGATCATATGTGCAGTATTCTTATACAACGCATCCGTGCACATACAAACACATGTGTAAAGAGATAAGAAAACAAGATGAAAGTAGCCAATTAAGTTTACCTCTTCTGCCTTGTTTTTTGCTTGTAAGGACAATTCCAATGGTGCACCATCTTCAACTTCCCCTGTGGAAGCCACTGCTGTCTCCTCTTTATCTTGCAAATCTACAGCTTTCTCTTTTTGATTTTCATCCTCTGATTGCATCTTAGAATCCTTCGCCTCTTCTTCCATATCTTCCTTTTCCTCTTCCTCTTGTTCTTCCTTTTCTTTAGCATCTATTTTCAGGGACAGATCAATCTCCATTTTCCTTTCTTCATCTCTTTCCATTCCCACTATTATTTTGTGAAGATGGATTGATTTTGCAATCTCTTTCCTCTCTCTCCCTCTCTCTCTGTCTGTAAAATGCTGCTTTTGAGGCACCAAAGTCAATTCCCTCGTCTCAAAGACGTAATATTGATACAATAGGACGCATCTAAGTTTTGACTTTAATTGGGTCCTTAACCTCAATTCATTAAACACTATACATAATCAAATGGCTGTTTAATTACTAAGATTGCAGGCTTGGGCACCCCCCACCCCCCTATGTTTCATTATTTGAGCCTTTCCTTCTTAATATAAAGACAAAGTTGCCCCTACTTAGTCACCTATGATCTTCCATAGATATAAAAATTAAATTAAATAAAAAAAATTAATAAATGTTTTAAGATTAGAGAATCGATCTGATTTTCCTCTATTGATTATTGCACCTGTTAGAACGAAAAATTGTAAATCCCCCAAAGGGAAAGAAAAAAAAAAGTATCACCATTTTCAACCTTATGAAATTAATAGAAATGTAGCTTTGGAAGTACTTTCCCTCATTTAATTAAACAATATGCACAACTTCATTACATAATTATATTTTATTAGGCCATTCTCAACGCTATTAAATGCTCATGCAATAATTTTTTAAGTGCCATTACTACAGCAAATCCTGATGTAATCTAATTTAATAATTTAACAAATTCTTTTTTTTAAAAGAAAGACGTTAGTTTGAAAATAAAAATTACAGATATTAAATTTTAAAATTTAAAAAATAAATTTATTAGATAATTAAATAAAATAATTGAATTAAATTTAGAATTTAATATCTATTTGAAGATAGATAAAAAAAATTTTGACTTCATTAACCTTTTTTCCACATTTTTTTTTAGAAATGTTTTCCATGTACATATATATGACACATTATTTTATATCAAATTAAATGTTCTTCTTATTTCTAATTATTTTCCTTTATTTTTCATAAACATAAAATAGCAATTTTTCGGGGATAATTAATTAATAAGACGGCAAAGTCATTTCTCTTTGAAAAGTTAATTAGGGGCACCCTAAATGTGCAGCAGAACAAATGATACACAGCTGCAGTTGATATTTCTTAGTCAATCAGAAAGCAAATAATAATAATTTAATGTATAAATAAAATGGGCACTGACATCATCTTCTCTCCCCACTGGAATATGAGCCCTGTACGAAATACCAAAACAAAGAGAAAGCCTCATAGGGATCAATCAGATCTTGAAATTGTCAACTAGAAGACCTCATACCCCCTCCCTGGTCCATGTTTTGCAACCAATTCATTTATTTTTTTAAATAATTTTAGCACCATCCATCTTAACTTGGAATACTAAACTTAATTATACCAAAGTCATCATTAATTTTTTAATTTCTGGTATCTTTTAAAAATGCATTGCATATTCTCTGAACTCTAAAAGATATAATAAATAATTATTTATATTTTAATTTTCTTTTTTTTTTAATTTTCTCATATGTACTAAAACATATTTGTGTTCATTAAATATTTCTTATAAAAATATTTGTGTTCATTAGATAAAATATGTGTGATCGATGTTCTGGTTTGAAAATCAATTCACAAAGTCATTGGACTAATAAATTAACTTAAATTGAAGTACATTCATGGAGGATACTTAGTTCTAAACCCTAAACTAAACTAAATGGATGGTGATTTCTATCATTCTATGTGTTTGATTTTTAAGAAAGTAGTCTATGGCATTTACCTTGTAAGTATTAAAAGACAAAGCAAATTGGAAAAGAAAAGCATAGGGTTTATTAAGATTAAAAAAATTTACTTCTAATTAATCTCTCTAATACCTAGCCATGATAATTAAGTGGAAAAGCAATAATTACCAAGAACTTAGGGAAACTTTGCTTTTGAATGATAAAAAAGCTTTGCCCCAAGCCTCCTGGAATCCTTCCTATGAATTAGATTCAACTCCATATAATTAAGTTAATGGGATTAGCTTAAAAGATGTTACAAAAAGTCTCCAACCCGTACAATTGAATAATGGAAACCTTTTTAAATGCTTTTGAATGATTGAATTGTTAATAGTAATTTTTTTTATCATGGAATTTTTCGAGAATTGCACTCTCTCCTATATGGGTGCCTTGTTTACATGTTCAAATCATCAATTGTCAATAAATATTTCAAAAAATTCATGACTCATATTAAAGAGCACTTGATCGTGCAAACATATGACTTCCTTTTGTAAAGTAGATTAATTATTGTTACCATTATATATTTAAAGTGATAGATGATTATAAACCCGATAATTAATTCAAGTAATTGATACAATTATCTTTAAAAAATAATATTTATAAATTTAAAGTTCAAATCTTATTATATATAATATATTTTTTTATTATTTCGAAAGGACCTCTTTTATTAAAAAAAAATTGTTAAAGATGATCATTTTATCTATAGGCCTAATAATAATTGCTGCCGCATTTCAACCTTACACAGCTAGCTTTCTTCTAATTTCTTCTAACACCCTCTTCTTCTTGAATTTGAAAAAAGATTTGTCCTTCCTTTAACTATTCATATCAAAGATATGACCATTTTGAGTTGGGCCGAACCAAATATATTTGTGTGTTCTTATTCTTGATTTGAGCTTGTTATTTTGTGTATGGTTGCTGCGCGTGGGTATTGTTGTTTTTCCCAACAAGTGGTATCAGAGCAAGGTTCCAGGTTCGAGGTTCTAGGTTCGTGGGTCCAAGAGATCGTGAAGCAGTGTTTGAAGATGTCTGAAGAAGGTATGTCTGGTATGTCTATGCCTAAGTTTGAGATTCCGTTATTTGATGGAAAGAGTAATTTTATGTTATGGCAAAGTACGATTCAAGATCTGTTAGTACAACAAGGGTTGGATCAGGCATTAGAGAGTAGTAAGCCTGAAGGAATGTCTGATGCTAATTGGAATAGGATTCAGAAGAAGGCTGTTAGTACTATTAGATTGGCGTTAGCTCCAGAAGTAAAATACAGTGTGTTGACTGAGAGTACTCCGAAGAGTTTGTGGGATAAGCTTGAAGGTATTTATGCTTCGAAGTCGTTGACTAATAGATTATGTTTGAAGATGGATCTGTATTCTCTGAAGATGGAAGAAGGTATGAGTCTTCATAATCACCTGAATGAATTTAATAAATTGGTTTCTCAATTGTTAGCGATTTCTATTGATGAGTTAAAAGATGAAGAGAAGGCTTTAATTTTGCTGTCATCTTTGCCCAAGTCTTATAGGCCTTTAGTTCAGACTGTGTTGGTAGGCAGGTCTACTTTGAAGTTGGATGATGTGACTGCCCTGTTGCGTGAGAATGAAAGGTTTATGGGAGCTCAGAACTCATCACCTGAGGGAGTACACTAGCTGTAGAGGGTTTTGATCGAGGGAGGACTCAAAAGAGGATTGATGGATCAAGATGGAGATCCAAGTCAAGAGACAGAGATTACAGTGATGTAGAATGTTATTATTGTGGTGAGAAGGGACATATCCAAGTGCGCTGCAGGAAGCTGAGAAGGGATATGGCTGCTTTCAAAAGGGCGAATGATGAGAAGAAATCAGATGAAGAAAAGAGTGATACTGCTGCTATTTTGTCTGATGATGATGATGTTGTTTTGACAACTTGTGTGGATGAGACCCAGACTTTGAAAAGTGACAAAGGTTGGGTTTTAGATTCAGCTGCTACAGTTCATGTTTGCAATGATAGGAGCTGCTTTGTGGAGTTGAATGAGAATGAAAAGTATGGGGATATTGTGATTGCTAACAAAGAAAAGGTGCAGATTCAAGGCATTGGGAGTGTTCGCCTTAGATCTCACAATGGTGTTATTAGGACACTTCGTCATGTAAGGTATGTACCAAATTGTCACTACAATTTGATTGCTTTAGGTGAGTTATCTTCTCGGGGATACACATTTTATGGTAGTAATGATTGGTTGAAAGTGTATAAGAATGATAGTGTGATTTTACAAGGGAATATGGTCAATCACTTGTACATGTTTGATGGAGGCTCAGTTGCTGGAATGCCTGTGATGAAAGAAAAGAAGAAAGGTAAGCATGTTAGCTTTGCAGATACTGTTGAAGTGTTTGGAGATTCAAGTCAAGGGAGGATTTGTTGGGATTTGCCTTGAATCTCAGAATCCCACATCGAAAGTTAAGTAAGTTTGAATTTGTCTTGTATCCCACATCGGGAGTTTAGTAAAGGTATAAAGGGTTTCACCCCTATAAATAAGATGTTTTGGTTTTAGTTTAGTAACCCCAGAGAGTTAGACACCAAGAGAATAGCTAAGTGAGTAGGCTATTAAAAGGGTGTAATTGGGTTTTGGGTTAAGTTTTGAGTAAGGAGTTTTAGGAGACTTTTCTCATTCTAAAAGTCTCACAATTGTAAAGACTTATTTGATAGTGGATTAGATTTGGAGTAGGCCATTTTGAGTTGGGCCGAACCAAATATATTTGTGTGTTCTTATTCTTGATTTGAGCTTGTTATTTTGTGTATGGTTGCTGCGCGTGGGTATTGTGGTATTTCCCAACAAACAACACATCATTAACTTAGAAAAAACTCTCGTTTTCTGGCATTGATGCATATTACATGTGCAAAATAATTTAAATTATTTATAATTTGAGGATGAGAAATTATGCAATTTAATGTGCCTTTTATTGTGCTTGTATGCTGTAGTATAGGAAACGGAGAGAGATGCTGCTGGCATGGTTTTATACGTATTCGGAGAAAGCGACGCCGCAGCCATTTCCCTCGTTGAATTTTTCTCTGATGGGAATGATAATTAATAATTAATAGCTAAGCCAAACTAAAGAGCAAGAATTAATTAATTAACAAACTTAAAAATATATTTATATATTATATATATATATATGCACTTAGAGAAGAGAAACCCGTCTCTTACTCTTATACTTTTGATTTCACATGTCAACTAGATTATTTAAATGCTAAAACCACGAAAAGGCAAGCAAATTATTATGCCATATATATATTAAAATAATTTGCCTGTTGCCTGATATATGTATGCTCCCCCGAATGCAATTTCAAATAAACTAATATTTGTAATAAATATTTGATGTATTATCAATGTATAAATTTTATATATTATTAAAAAATCGAATGATATTATCTTATTAATAAGATAAATTAAATGAAATCACTTCATTAATAAGTAAATTTTAAAATATATTAATTTTTTATATATTTATTTTAAGAGTTGATATTTATTCATTAACGAAATGATATTATCTGATCCATTGATAGTTTATAAAATTTACATATTGATAATATATCAAATATAAAATCTTTGCAGTATGTATATATTAATGAAATCTTTCTTTGACTAGAAGGTCTATTTACTTTTATGATAGAAGGATTTGAATTAATTTGTTTCTAATCAAGGCTAAATTTATGAATATGCTACATGCACTCATCTTGTAAGCTCATTTCATACATTTACTTTTTTTTTTAAGGACTTAATTTAATAATATTAAAAAATTTTTATGGATTATCATAGAATTTTGAAATTTATATATTATGCGAATGTGTGAAGTTATTGTATTAGATAAGAGCATATAATCTTTTTGCATATATATATATATATATATATATTTCTTTTGCAAAGGCCTACTCCCTTTAAATGATTTTTCTTTTTGTATTATTGCATTTAAATCTTATATTTCACATGTAAACCAGATCTTATAAGTATATAACCGATCGATGATTCATGAAAAAATAGAACTATTATTACATGTCACACAATAAATTATATGTAATATATGACTTTTTGTTATGTTTGGTATATAAGATTATGATACGATAAGATAAAATAATATTATTAATAGGATTAGATTAAAAAATATTATCATATTTTGTATTTGATATATGCAAGGATTAGGATAAGATAATTTATTTATTTGTCAAACTTATCATTCTTCAAAATTTATATAATTTAAATTATTTATATAAATTTTAAAGGTATAATTGGACATGTAAGTTTAATGTCATGAATTAAAAATAATCCTCTCCACTTATGGAGGATTGAATAATTCTATATCAAGAGGATATTAATCCTCCTTACAATATTTATCTCTATTTTTAGATACAAATTAAACATGATAGACGATGATTATTATCATATTCTATCAATAATCCTATACATCAAACATTACTAAAATATACCAAAATTATAATTTATATAGCATAGATTCTCTCTCTCTCTCCCTCTCTCCTAAAAAATATATAAAATTGCTCTTACCATTGACCTAAAGTTAACCTTATTTAGATATTGGTTCTAATTTATCATGCAAAACTTATATATATATATATATATATATAATCTTCAGTTTCTACCATAGCCTAGATTTAATATTTTTCCCCAATCTCACTTCATCTGATGGAAAAGGGAAAGGAAAATAAAGAAGAAAAAGAATGGCCAACTTGTCAATCTGATCATTCATCAAACAGGCTGTTTCCAAGTTCCTTCACCAGATTCATAGTGAAACAGCAGATTTCCACCAATCAAGGTCAATCTTTAAGTTGTTTAATTAATTAATAGAATATAGTATAGAAGACTGCAGTTTCCATCATAAATTCCCCGCATTTGGCGCTATATATAAATAAAACTTAATTGAAATTTTTAATATGGTTGATGATGAATGGTGATAAACTTTGGGTTGCTAAGATTTTTTTAAAACCAGCTGTTGATATTTTGTGTAGATCTATGCATGGGACCAGTGTCAATGGAAGACTAGTGTTTCCATCCTTTGGGAAAATTTTACCACCCTTTATGGTGTAAAATTTTTATTTTTTTATTAATTTTATAATTATTTTCTCCTTGATTAGTTTGATCTGGTTTTAATTAAATCAAGTACCTCTCATCTTTTTCTTCTAATATAAACCAAATTGCTAAATCAAAATGAAATCTTTTGATGAGACTTTCCTCAATTTTCTCACATCATGTCTTGATTTCCTCAATTTTCATGATCCAAATAATAATTTCACTTTGCTTGTGTTTAGTGTTTTTCTTTCAAAAAACAAGATTACTCAAATCAAGAGTCAACACAATGAAATTGCAATTTGGTATATGTCACTTTTTTTTTTTAATTATTTCTCATCAAATCTGGATTTGACAAAGAAATATACCAAAAACATTGGATAATTCTTCTTTAGATATAGATATATTTGGTGATATTAATATCAAATGCATTTATGAGTAATTTACAAAAATCAAGAACCGATCACTTCTTGAATATAGTGACAAATAAAGAACAAAAATAAATCAAAATTAAGAGTTGACCCGACATTGGTTTCTTTAATTAATCGGATGATGTAATAATATTATCCTCAAACTTCACCTAATTCTATGCCATCTTAGCTCAGAAAATTTCCAAAGCAGCCAAAGCTTTTACTTGACAAAAACCGAACCAAAGCGTAGGTGGTGAGTCACCATTTACGGCTGGTCAAGGTCATCTAACGATTTTGTCCTTGGGGTTGAATTTTTTTCTTGTTTGGGGCTTTGAGGCTAAGCTTCAGATATTATGACACTTGATTTTCAGTCAATTTACGGCGTTTTTTGTTTTTGAATGATATTGTTTAAATTATAAGCACCTATCAATCAGATCTTTAGTGTATTATGATTCATTTAAATGTTTAATTGAAAGATTTTTATTATATGAAAAATACGATTTATGATTAAATTTTTTATAATCCCAACTCGAAAAACTGTTTAAAAGAAAGAAAAAAAAGTCTAAATTATAATTGGATTCCAATAGAACTAATAAATAGACACTTAATAAAAGTAAATAATTATAGAAATGTGGGCGTAGGTACCGTCTAAAGTCTCCATGGGCAATTATCTTCGCCGGTTGGCTTACCTTACTTAGAGGCAATTGGTTAATGAAGATTTAAAGAAAGAGTCTTTTTAAGCAAAAAGATTGACTTGCGAGAGATGAAAGGACTCAATTCTTTATTTGAGCGGAAAGGACCAAATTGAGTTAAGCTATCAAAAGTGGTTTTTGGTGCTTAATAAAAGCACTAATCTACAACACTAGAAGAAGAAAAAAGTTTTCATAGACCAGACTGGTAAGATACAAAAAAATTAAAAAGCTTTCACCCACGTGCGTATTTATGTGAAATAAATTTTCTAGGGAGAAAAATGGGAAAAAAATGAATGGTAAAAGATAAAATTTTAAAAGACATTGAATCTAAGTCTGAAACAAAGAAAAAGAAAGGATAACCCAAAAAAAAAAAAAAAACAAGAACTAATTTTTCTTTCCTATTTTTTCCTTTTCAAATGATGAATAAAAACATAGGCTATTTGTTGAATTTTGCCCCTCAGCCACAAGTTAAAACCCAGAGACAGTAAACTATTAACCCCCAGCAAATCCTTACATTGCAGACATAATAAAAACCTATTCCTACCATCAGCTCTAAATCTTTTTATATCTTAGAAATCCTATGTCAAAAAAAAAAAAAAAAGGAAGAACAAATCTCTGCTTTTCTTAGGACTGGATCAGTTTGTAGCTTATTCCAATCCACTCTCACAAACAGTAACAGACACATAGCATCCTATATTTCTTTTCTAAAATCCAATCAGATTTTCCCAAGTCAATTAAAAATTTTTTATAGTCAAAGCTTCTCCATTGGAATCCATTGAGCTCAATCCAGATGACTATTAGAGTTTAATGGAACTATAGACTGCATTCGATGGAAAAGTCTTCCAGATGGTTTCAGTTTCATGTACTGCACAAAAAAAAGAAAAAATGTAATAACCTTGTAGTAGAAGCATCAGAAGATATTTCAAATGATAAAGTAAAGAATAGCAGAAGCTAGATTTTGGAGAAGTGCTTACCTCCTTGAAAAAGGCACTAATCTCCTCCTCCGTAAGACCTTCATCATCTCCAGCATTCTCTTCCCAACCAAGGGAACGTAAAAATTTTTCCTCTTCCTCTTCAGGAAAAAGAATCGCATTAAGGCTTGAATGCCTGTCTCCATTGCTAGAACACTGCTGAGACTCAGTATAAGCATCTCCATTGTGGGTTCTTTCACTCGAATTGTCAGTTGGCAAGTCAGCAATTGACATATCCGATGATGGAACACCCCCATCATGCAGAGTAACAGAACTCCTGGAATCTTTTGTGCCAAGTTCATCAGACTTCTCTGAGACAGACAGTGACACAGCAGGGTTGGGATCAGGGACAGAGGAAGCAGGGTTTGTAGTAGATTTCTTCTTTAGAAGGTTGAAGAAATCATTCCTACTCTGGGCTTGAGCTGTTGGTCTCTTCTCAACGGTTATCCGGATTGGAGTCTGGTTACGATCAGCAGTGGCAAACCTGGGGCTATTGCCTGAGTTCCTAAAAGGAGCAGATGCAGCAGCTGATGGAGTGACACTTAGTGGGCTATTCACTAACTTGCTGCTTCCATTAGTAGGACTCAAATTATCCTTTGTAGTTAAAGAGACCCCATTAGGTTCTCGAGATGGTTTGAGTATCTGAAGCCTGCTCTCATTAGAAACTTTTAGACTGTCTGATCTTGAAGATCCACCACGTGTGTAATTAAGAGAGAGTGAGGGATGCAGCTGCTGCCCAGCTTTAGCTTTTGATTTCTCTGAAGGACTAACCACCTATAGGAAAAACAAGAAGCAAAAGAAAAAGTAACGTAAAAAATTTGATCAAAGTATAAATTCAATATTCAAAAAGTTTTCAGCACTATGTGAAATCAGGCTTGACTTCATAATCTATTTTTATAAAGAAACCTAGTATAAGATCTCTATCCATTGGCATCAATTTTGATCAACATAAGAATTACACGATAAGCCCAAAGTCACCACTCACCAGTGATTCTAACTATAATGGCAAAAAGGTAAAAAGCTAGCCTTAGTATCATAGAATCATAGGGAAATAAAAGGGATAAACTCAAAGTATTAATCAAATTTCTCCTTTTTTTCCTCATCCCCTTTCCAGTCACCTAATCCCTAATCAGTAATACAATACCAGGCTCGAAGCTATGACACCTCTGCTACCACAAGCATACCACGACAACAAGAAGTAACAACCAATGAAGTGATAATTCTTTAATTTAATAATACATTGATAGGGTTATTTAGTTCAATCACTTTTTTAACACTTTTAGAGTTCACACCTTTATATATAGATAAGAAAATACTTCCACAGCACACATTTCCCCCAGTTACATTAGAAATTTCAGACAGGTCTCACACTTCAAAGCAAAACAAAACATTCTCAATGAATTAGTAACGGAAAGAGATATGCAATGCTACTAGGGAACTTTCTTAGTGAGATTTGCACCTAAGATCACATTTAAGAATTTAATCATAAAAGAAAAAAGATCACATTTAAGAAATTCTGAACTAAAGCCCCAGCCAAACAAGAAAGTTGTAACCTATGCTTCCCAAATTCTTAAGAATTTAAATAAGACAGCAACAGAAAGATGCATGCTTTCAGTTCATCAGACATAATTGCTAAATCATGACTCGTTAATAGATGGTACTGCCACATGCACTCAACAAAATCCAAACATAAAAAGCAGAATATGCATGTTCATGTGTACATATTTAGGTTACCATATCAGAAAGACGTCTTCATATACACATATGGGCATTTATGGACAGAGTAAAACATATATTGATTATGGACTTTAAGAAAAGGCAAGATTCAATAGCAAAGAGAACCAGTATTAGCATTGGATGCCTTCTAACATCACACGATCTACCAGTTCATGCCAATACAAATACACACAAACCCAAAAAAGAAGAATAGAGAATCATATAATATGCTCAATTTAACATTTTAGTTCATTACAAAACTGAAGAACTAAAAAACTTCGCTCCCCCAACAAACAACAAAAATACATTTTGCAAAACTATCGAACTTCATTTCCGAACAATCATTAACCAGCATATATAGCTTATCTTACAATTTGATTAAGATACATGGCCTACTAACCTTAAAATGCAAACATGCCAAGCGGATCTAAAAGAAAAGTTTTAATACAACATAAATATGCTCCTCAGAGTGTATATTATAAGAACAGCATATACCCCCAAAATGAAAATAGTATCTTAAGACGAAAAAATAGAGAAGCTGAACAGCAGCTCACCAGAGTTTTAGGTGTTGATGTTGTCACCAAGGGTATTAGTTGCCTTGACTGTTTGATAGCCAGCTCCTCAAGCCTTTGAGTTCCAACATTTAACTACATCAAGAAACACATCAGATCATATCAGCGTTTAAATAGTTTCTAACAAATACAGTTGAGAACAGAACAAATGTTGAAGTTTACCGAGGGAGGTGTACGAGCACAAGAAGGCCTCTGAGCTAATGTTTCAGCCATATTAAGGCTTGTAGTCGTAGCTGGAGCAATAGAAGCAGAACGTACAGAAACATTTTGTGAAGCAACTGCAACACCTGCAACACTGCTTCCCACAGCAACTGGAATGTCTGCTAGAGCTGATGTCCAGCCATCACTGCCAGTAACAGCTGAGGTACCCACTGGCAAGCCCTGCACAGAAGTACTCAAGCCAGGAGATGAAACCTTTCCTATTTCTGACCCAACTTGTCTTTCTTCAGCACCAAGCACAGGAAAATCACGTTCAAATGCAGATTTATTACAAACAGCAGTGCTAAACATGCTAAGCAAACCATTACCACTGCTGTAATTGCTTTTGTTGTTGGCACTTGAATCATTTGTCACTTTCCTAGGCCATTTGTCACTGCAGTTTCCAGTTATCATAGACTGTGAACGCCGTAAGACATCCTTCTCAAACATGATTGGAAGCATGCTATCCAGAGAATCGGAGGAGTTACGGTTACTATGGTCACTAAGGACAGCCTTCTCCCTATCATGGTAACCATTAATATCTTTTCCCAAACCCCCTTCTCGGTGAACTTTAGCAAAACTGCTATAAGACCGTGAGTGGGCAGAACCGTTGCTACTATGACTCCTTCTAAAATACCCAGAAGTGGTCCTATCTGAAATAGGTGTCCGGCCTATATCATGATCACTCCCAACAGACAACTTATTTCTCTGCCTCAATGCAGAATGATTGTCTATAACAAAAACAATCAAAACAGAGATTAGAACATAGGCATTTACATTCAATTCGCTTTATGAGAATGACGAGGAGATTAATTTCAAATTTGCAAATTACCAAAACTGCTACTAGAAACTAGGCAAATAAGTTGCAGACAACTAAATAGAAAAATTAAATCTAGAGACATACTGCTAAACTATAAATTAGAAAAGTCTTATAAAGTTCTATAATATTGTTCTCTTTCACCTAGTAAAATGAAGATAAAATATGCATTTTGAACAATAAGGCATAATATATAATATCTTGAGCACTACATACATCCCTGAAATGCCATTATTTAAGTCTCTCCTAAAGATACCAATACAGATACTAACAAATGTTATTAAAACACCAAAATGAAAGACAGGAATAACAAACATGGAGACATAAATTGAAATTACCTGAGTGCGAAGATGATGATGTAAATTGGTGATTTGAATTGCCACTGCCACTACCACTAGTATTGCCACTGCTCTTCAACCATTCCGGTACCAATGAAGGCTCACTTCTTTCCATAACTCTCTCTAAACGTTATCATGGAGAAAGAAAAATTTTTGCATTTCTAATTTTCTTTTTACAGATTATAAACTTCTCAATATTTCCCAAAACTCTTCTGTTCCCTTAAATTCACTTTCACTTATCCAATAGCTTGCCTAACATGAACTGTCTAAGTTGATCACTATTATACTCCAAAATTCTTCAAAACTTTTCTATACACTGTACTTAGGTTTTTGCTTTGTGTTTCTTCTATACAATATATACTTTTAAGGTCACCAAACTTCCGTCAAAAATCAACCAATTGATCAATCAATTCAAAGAAACATCAATTATGGTATTGCTGACTAATAAAATCTTACTGAAGAGTTTCCAAAATTCTTCTCAAAAAGGGCAATTCTGTAAATAAGCGCTTCTGCAATTAAAAGGACATAGCAGTTTGTTTTTCCTTATATTTCAATAAAAGGGCTTCTTCTAGGGTTCTTCAAAATTCAAGAACGAACTAAGAAGACCAAGACTCTCATCTGAAATAACAATTCTACCCCTTCAACAAGAAAGAACAAAACGATACGGCTGTCAAAGAAGAACCCAGACCCATTATAGTAAATAACAAAAAAATCGAACCCTGAATTTTTCTTATACCATCCCCTTCAACAAACCCTTCTCAAAAACCTATGTTCCTCTTTTTTATACTATCAGCAGTACTTAACAGAGTAAAACGAAACAAATTCTCAGGTTATGAAAAGGATTTTCAGTTGCTAACCGTAAAAATCACCGAAAACGTATTAAAAAGTAAAGAGAACCTCAATTGTACGGCTATCGACGCTTCAGCGTCCTCAATTCTCACGCAGTGCACAATTCAGCGAATAAAAAACTATCAGAAACCAGAAGGAAAATTAAAAGAAACGGCTGCCTCTCTGTTTTTTGGCGTAAGGAAATTTATGAAACGACGTAGTCTTTTGGTGTGAACTTCTGGGGAGAAAGAGAGACAGAGGGTGTGAGATAGAGAGGAAAATACTTCGGAATTGCGCCGTGAAGGGGAAGGGGGCAAGAGTCTTTTATATACGAGACAGAAACAAAGAGAATAATATAATAAGAAGTATAATTTGTGTGTACTTCTTTTTCTTTTTTTAGTTTATTTTGAGGTGTTAGTATATTAATTATGAGAAGGAAATTGTTCCTTTCTAAAATTTAGACTTTGATGATTCGCTGAAGCAGACGAAGAAAATAGAAAAAAGCAAAAAAAAAAAAAGTTGAGCTTTTTTATGATTTCATGTTTCTTGGATTAAGTGAATTAAAAGAAAAGTCCGTAGTCCATATCTGATTTTATTTTCTTTATCTACCCTTTTGAAAATCTTTTAACAAACAACAATCATCGCTTCAAATTGTTTGATCTTTTATGTCGAATTGGGCCAGACACCGTTTTCATTTTAATGCACAAATTTTATGTACAATAAAAGCTCATAGGCCTTTGATGCACACTCAAAGCTCATTGGCCGCGAAACTTCTTTAGAAAGGTAGGAAAAAGAGTACTTGTATCGAAATTTTTTTTATCTAGTAAAACAGAAAATGAAAAAAATAAAATATATTCTTAAATTATATAAAAATCTAATTTTAAAAACTTTATAATTAATTTTATTTCTCTAAATTTCAAATTTGGTGTCAACAACATCGAAAAGTACAATGTCTTCATTTCATTTTTATCCTTCCAATTCCATCCCTTATCTTTCCTTCCTTCCACAGATCCAGACATTATATAAACGCATGATTTTTATCAATATTTTCAAAGAATGATATCGTCTCTCTTGATGGTAACTTCAAACATCAAATCTGAGACTGAGACTGACACAATAAGAATAAGGATTATAAATAAATACTGGCGAAAAACATTCAACAGTTGAATCAAAACAAACCCTTACATACAATGTCGGAAATGGCATGGCAACTTTCTATAACTGATACTACGAATCAGCAGTGAGAAGCAAAATAGTTGTTCAAACTTTGAACACAAGCAAAAAGACCAAACTTAATCATAGATTACAGATTTTCTATTAATATTACTGACTTGCATTTGCAGTACCAGAGAATTGTGCTGGCAATGAACCCTTGTAAGCATCTGATACGGCAGCTGCAGTTTCTGAGAGGCTGACCCTCATCTCTGAAATCTTGGATTCAACATGTTCTTTATATTTTGAGACGGAATCAACCATCATAAAAAGTTCACGAGCATGCATCTGAATTTCCTCTTCACTTTGTTGGATTGCTTCTTGCAACCTCAGTTGCGAAGCCTTTGTCAAGGAAAAAGATAATGTTGATTAGGGATCATAGAGGCACTCATCCCCTTATTGGAACTGTATTTAAATTTCTCACAAAATAAAGGGGAGTGTTGGAAAATCATTGCATTCACCTTAAAATGACAAAATCTACTTTCCCTAATACTAATAACTAGTAAGCACTACATAACGTTCACAATTTATCTGTTTATTTTTAACCAATGAAGCAAAAGAACAAAAAGGCCTACCTTCAGAATCTCTGCTGCTTCTTTTTCTGTGATATCTAATTTATAAGCCTCAGTTTGGACATCCTCAACCATTTTCTTGACTTCTGCAGTAGATCTATAAACATATTCCTGCATTTCCTTCTTGAACAAATTTAAATGGGATTCAACCTAACAAGAATGATTAATAACAGAAGGTTAATTTCTAAAAGTGGCCCTTTTTGAACTACAAGTTTGAACATTACCAACAAACGGTATTTGCAATTTCAGACATTAGCACCACTCAAATAGAATTCACGGGAATAGAAGTCAAGTGATAAAAAAATAGGGTAAAAGTGTAAGAATTGTCTCTGGGCATGAGGGTTAACAGAAGAAAACGATATCAAGATGGAGTAGAGTAACCCTGCAAGTTCTAGCCAAAATTAAGAAGTTCTCAAATTCAGGCTATTCAGTGGTCAGCTGCCTTCTTATCATTTTCACAACAGAATACAATATCTTCAACATGAAAAACATCATGGAAAATTCATGGTTTTGTTATTGTATTCATCATATTTTTTTTTCAGAAGGAACTAAACATAATAACCCAATTAAACAACAAAAACAAATGAGAGGATGTGGAAACTAATGCAGGTATCATCTTGCACTTCCTACATGCTTAGATACTTCAAAGAAGCAAACAAAGAACTAGACACTCAAACAAAGCTAGTATCAGCAGGTAAGGCAAGAAAAAGTCTCCAAACAACTATATGACTAAGGGGTAAGGACAATGAAAGAACCTATTTGTAAGTGATAACTGAAGGGAATTTCAGAGTTCAGATGCTATAAGCCATAAGACTGAGTTACCAATCATAACTTTGAGCATGAAGTTTCAGCTTTAGAACATCAAATTTTCATGAACAATCTCTACCACCTGATAAGTGACTTCTGTTAGATCCACATACTGTACTATTTTTACAGGTCCCAGAAAGTATTGTTTATAGAATTTCAATTTTCATAACAGTGAGATTGAACAAGGTTTTGGAAAGGAACGAAAAGTTGGAGACCAGGTCCAAATCCTGACAGGTAAATATCTATGTACCACTATCATAGTGTGAAGACCTGATTTCAAAGCACTTACTTCATCAATACGGGATTGAAGTGCAGCAATAAGCTTTTTCTTTTCCTCAATCATGTTAGCCATTTCTTTTGATTGTTGCTGAAGGATAATCATGTCTTCAAACTTTTTCTTAGAACTCTCCCTTATGTTGTCACCATACCTTTCAAGCTCAGGCTTAAGTGTAGCTTTGTAGTCGATCCCCATCACCTCAGCAGGTGTTGAGCCTTTAGCATTCACCTCATACTGATAATCATTACCAACCTTTAACCTAAAACCTCCAAAAAACGACAGCAACGTTATTAATTGTTACTAAGCACTAGGTGAAATTTTGCATAAGCTAACAACTTGCTCAAAATAAGAACTTTAAGCATAACCAAAACAATCAAAGCTATAGTAAAATTTTGTTCAGGATTTAAGAGACTTTACAGAACAGAATCTGAGAAGATAATCTTGACCAAACCCCCTGGGTCAAAGGTAAAAATAACTCTCAAAGACAAGTTCGTTATTTCATTACTACTTCAAAATAAAATTTTGTAATACATTGAAACCAAGGAAAAGATACTAATACTCAGCAAATTTTCTGTCAAAGGCTCAACCTTACACCTAACATATTTAGCTTTCAAGGAAATGCATTGCATGTAACAAATTGTTTAAAATGTGAAGCATCATTTATCCATAGCAATTATGCATTCCAATTCCCACCAGGGATTCACCTTCATGTTCAGGAATCATTCTGCAATGACTAAAAACTCATGCATTTAAATTCCATTTTCTTTTAAAGAAGGAAACAAAACTATTCAATTCACTAACCCTCACTATTAACATTCTTAAATTTCAACTTAACTCATCAGTAATAGGAAATCAAATTCTGCATCAAATATATAAACACGCAACACACAATGAAGATATGCAAATTAAAAGCTCACAAAACCTCCTAATCGCTTGGTTGCATTCCATTGCAAGCCCAACTAGCTCCTTAAACTTGTGTCCAATAGTAGAATCAAGATCCCAAGACTTATCCTCCCATGAATTCCTCGCAACCTCTGCCTCCACAATATCCCTCTCCACAGCCTGCATCTCCCTCTTCATCCTTTCCACATCTCTGGCATTAAAAGTTTGCAATTCCACTCTCTTTTTAAGCTCCTCATTTTCCTCGCAAATACGCCTCCTCTCCTCTTCCTTTGCATTCAACTCCTTCTCCTTTTCCTCCAACACCTTTTCCATTGCCCCAATCCTCCCTGTAAACTCAGCGATCATAGCATGAAACTTCTTCACATCTTCTTCTAACACAGTCTTTTCCTTCTCTAACAGTTCCCTCTCTGTTGGCCCCTTCCTTAGTCCCTCTGCTTTCGCCTCCAGTTCTCCAACACTCTTTTCCAAAGCCCTGTTGTTCTCCACCACGTTTTCCCTCTCCTTCTCAACCTTCTCCATGAACTGGTTATCTAAAACCTCCAATAAATCATCCTCGCCATGTATAAATCGCGTGTAGCTCTCCAATGCATATTCATTCATGCTATTATTTTGAGCAAAAGAAGTTGTGGAATTCTGAGATAAATGTTCATTGTACATTGCAAGTTGGACCAGCCAGTGAACGATACCAAGCCAATAAGGCCAATTGTGGGGGGTATTAGGGGCACGGAGCGTGGATTTGTTGAATTTGAAGGGGCAATTTAGGGTTTTCAGGAGGAAACCTAGGTCGTCCTCGAGTTTGGAGCAAGGAAAATCGATAAGGGAAAGAAGGGAGGTGAGGATATTTGAGAGGTCCTTGGCGGAAGGAGCTTGAGAGGGTTTGGTGGACATAAGGGGAATGGAATGGGAGGAGAAGAAGGCGTTGATAGAGCGGATGGTGGCCGCTTGGAATGCGCGATCGGAGTAGGGTTCGGCGGAGGAGATGCCGCGGCCCACACCGACGGAAGAGGGCCGGCTACTGGCAAAGCTGGCATCGGAATCACGCGACTGTTGTGCTAGCGGAGGATTGAAGGAGTCAGTGGGACGGCCGCGAGTGGTGCCCCTCATTTTTCCTCGGTCTAGATAGGCGGTGTTTGATTTTGAGTTCTTTTTGAGATCTTTCAGTGGCTTTTTCACTTTTCAGCTTTTCGTTTTCCCGCTCAATATGTGTTTGGGTTCGGAGCCTTTATGTAGGGCTTTATTTGCCATTGGGATTTGGGAGCTATAGACAACCAAACGGCGTCGTCTAGGCTAATTTCACCTTTTTTCTTTTTGGAATATACTACTACTCTTTTTTCGTATAAAGGAAAATAGAAAATGTTGCTATTCAAAATAATCTCATAATTAGTTTTAACCAACAATAAAATATTCGTTGATTAATCATTAAACTCCAATTTTCAAACACAATCTTTTTATAAAAAATGCACAATATCAATAGTGTGATTTATTTAATATTAGGTATTATACCCTTTTTAATATTAATAAGTTACTTTAATATCAAATTCAAATGACAAAAATCACATGGTTCATTAATTTTTTATAAGATATTAGAATTTTAATTTTAATCATCAAAATTTAATTTTTCATATCTGTAAATATATAAAAAAAAATTAATATAACATTTGAATGTAAGTAAAAATGTATAATTTAAACATGATGGACTGAATTAGCTAGTTTTTTATTTTTAGAGTTTTAAATAGATTGACAATAACAAATAATAAATGTTACTTGAGTGCTTGCTCCCGGATTAATCAAACAATTGTAAGATGATAATTTGTGTAAAGTTAGTGACATTACATTGTGTCACTCATATAGACGTACATTATAATTCCTATTTATTCGTGCAATTCTGCATATAAAAAGGTTTCGAGGGTGTTTGAACTATTTATAGACTTTATGAATCAATTTTGGCTTACTTTAATAATTATTGTCATTTTAATTAAAGGCTAAATTATGATTCATATCTAACTATATATAAAACTTATTAGGTTAAATTTGAAAGAAAATATTTGGGTTTTCTTTAATTAGTAATATAAACAAATTTATTATTATTCCTCTTACCATCTGATGTATGTTGCTCGTGTCTTTTGTTCAGATCTTTCTTGGCATTAATTTTGGATATACGTTTTGTGTGCTTCTGGTGACATAGGAGAGCAGTACCATTTCAGAGATGAGATTCAGGAACTGGAGAAGCGTGCCGCTACCCTGCTAATGGATTGCAGCAGTGGCTCGCTCAGGGTAAATGGATGCTACATTCCACGAGGTGTTTTCACTATCCTATATACAGGCCGGTTCAGACTCCATGCCAATGCTTACAGTACTCAAGTCATGGACCACAAGAAAACTTTCCCAAGCTTGTAGGCTAGGGGTACAGTGAAGATCAAAAGAACATCAACTCAAAAGCACTAGAAATTTAACTGAAAAAGCACCAGTAATTTAACTGAAAAAGCACCATGTAAATGAACGTAATGGCAGAGAAACAAAATGTTCAACACACAATAGAATGTTTCAATCATTTATCAAGAACATGTTTCCTTGCCCCTAAAATCAATCAAGGTTCTGTAGGATTTGAAGACTTTTTCAATCTGCATTGTTTTCCTGCATCCCCATCCTGTGAAAAGGCCTGAGGTTTCTTTTTGACAGTACGAGTCTATATACAGGGGAAAGAGGATTAACAGAAGTTAACTGATGAAATTACATGTTTACATTGCAGAAGAATTCAACTAAAAGGAGGAGAGGTAAAGGAATTATGAACACATCCAAATGATTGCACAACAACAAAGGAAAACAGTCATCTTTTCCACCACTACTTTCCCACCCAACCTTCTAACATGCCCCCCCTAAAATGAATGTGAAGTAAATAAGTGCCAATTTAAAGTCCAATATTTTATGTGTTTTAACTAATTTTTGCCAAATAATACTATGGAGATAAGTAACCTTTCCCATTTCCCCTCCTTTATAGGTACCACTTCGATCTTATGTTTGACCTCCAATGGCTTCTCTTCGTCTCCGTCTTCTGCCTGAACGTCCCAAAAGAAGTCTTCCATGGCGGCGGAGTCGGGTAACCAAAGAAATATTGCCACCACCATCATCATCATCATTACTAAAATTGTCATCACCTTGATCAGAGAAACCCAGATCCCCAACAGAAGCGGTGTGGCGGACACCAACAGCATTCACGTCTGCTGCATGTGCAGGCCGCCTTGGTCGTCTACCAAGGTCGGTGCCTGATGGCCCCAATGCGTGCAGCAGAAGAAAGAAATTCATAAAATTACTATCTAAACCTACCTCAAAGCCTCCATTCCTTTCTGCAGCATATGAATTGAGACCATCCTCATCATCTGTCTCAAAACCATGATGATTTCCTTCTATTACATAATCACCAAAAACCATTGCCCCTGGCATTGTTGACCTGATTGTGCTGATCACATCCTCCCGCTCCCGCTCCCGTTCAAGCCTTCTCCATTTTTGGTCAACAGTAGGATCCACTATGCGTGGCCGAGCACATGGATGATCTGCTTTCATGTGTTTCCTTAGTTCCTTGAAAGTCCCAATGAAGGTGCAGTTATCCTGCATGCAGCTTCTCTTTTTAGCATTTAAATATTCCCTTGCAGGTTCCACCACAGTCCATCCTTTCACCTGACCCCTGCAAAGTGGACATGCAAGTTCTGTCACTTCACACTTCTCAACAGGCCAACTGGAACCTGTCGAAAGAACTGGATTACCAATGGAACTATGCAGGGGTTCTTCATGATTGGATGAGACTACTTTAGTGTAGAACTTCTTGTACTGGTCAAGGCAGTTCGAGTATCGGAAGCTAGTTCCACACATGTAGGGATGGCAGCCCTTGTCATGGGATGAACAGAGAAGAAGAACAGCATTGTGAGGGTACTCCATGCAAACAGAACATGTTGCATCTTCCCAGTCTTTCTTATCCAAAGCTTTGGAACATTTTTTGGGGTACAAATCGCCAGATATCCCTTGACGACGATAGGGCAATGAGTATGGGGTTGGCCTGAATTGCCGGCATCGCTGTCCTTTGCTACCTTTCACCATTTGCAAACTACACCTCAAAAGAATATTGCAAAATCAGAAAATCTTATAACTGTAGAAATAATCTCAAGTCCAACATATAGTGGTAGATACAGATAAATTCACCAATGTGCTTCTCAAATTTCTAAAGCTAATGGTAACTTTAGGCCTTTAAACAACAATATCTAAACCATTGTTCCCATGATGGAAGAAAGTAAACCTGTTTATCTATACTTCATTAATTTTACCACATCCTGGGTTTTATTGTGTCAGAGGAAACCAAGGAGTTCTGAAGGGATAATACATGTTCAAAGTAAAGTCTATCTCTTATAACTTTATAACAGCAATGTCCTAATTTCAAATATATTAAAGACTAGTAAAAGATCCGAAACAAATACATGTAATCCTAAAAGAAGTACTGAGAAACTTTTATTATTGAGGCAACAGACATGCAGTGGTCTCTCTCACACATATAGATGCACACAAACACATTTCTTTCTCGTTCTCTCTATTCTTTGTCCCCAAATACACCATCTTTACCAAAACTAAAGGGAAAATAGGCATAAAAGAAGGCTTTCACATGTCCAAACTCAATAAAACAATGCATCTAAAGAAACACCGAAGCTGGCATGGAATAATAGTCCAAATCAAAAAGATGCCTTACTTGCCACTAACCATTTAGGCTGCTAATTTGATCACAGAAACTAATAAATAACAGACAACCAAGGACATTTCACAGCTGTTACCACTAAGAACTTCATGCTACATTGTGCCCTTATCATCCTCTCCATTACATTGATATGCCCTTTTCTACTATTAAACTGTTTGTAAGAACTTCTCTTCATTGTGACACTATAAAACATATCTACAATGTGGGAGCAAATCCCCCATTTCCAAACCATAATACCACAAATTATTATGGCACCAGCAGCAAACAACACCTCCCTGCCCTCACCATACTTGCAAAACGAAAGTGCTAGAGTGTGATGCACCAATAACATGAAAACTTAAGTTAACATACATAAACAAAATAATACCAAAATTTAAGCTTCATAAACCGTAAACATAAAGAAAACCCGGTCATTTACCATTGTCCTTGATAAAATTCACATCCTTGTTTCATTATGCAAGTGAACTAGATCATCTACCATAGCCAAAGTACAACTAAACTCAAAAACACCAGTAACCCTTGATACAATTCACATCCATGTTCCATTATACAAGTGAATTAGATCATCCTTGAAACTGAACATCGGAAAAGAACAATCCCTGATACAATTCACCTCCATGTTCCATTATACAAGTGAATTAGAACATCCTTGAAATTGAACATCGGAAAAGAACAATCCCAACCAATGGGTATACCAAATATGACGTGATAATTCATGATTTAAAAGGAAGAACTTCAAAGAATCTCACCTGCCTGAAAAGTTGTGGAAATCTAGGTCGAGATAATGAGTTAGTTGGAGATACCAAGTCTCACCTGATAACATAACACCCAGAGTTAATAGATTTAAAGAATCAAAACAACTTGCTTTAACAATAGATTCACGCGATAATACAGATTAAAGAATCGAAAGAGAACATGGACCTATGATTTTACCCACATGGGACTTTGGACTTTATCCATCTAAGATCTATAATTATCGAATTCAATATTTAATTATTAAAATAAAAAAACAAAAACAAGCAGGAAATTGTATGTATTTAATTTAAGATTAAAATAATTTCATTACAAAAAATTTGAAAAAAAAAAGTCTCTTCAAAGCTTAAAAAGTAATAATGAAATTTCTGATATTCTTTTCTTCGCTAGTGAAGAAAATCAAAAGCTTCAAGATAAATGAACAAGACACGAAAATTCGACGGCAAAAAGTAGAGATAAAACGACGGCCGTACCAGGGCAATGTTGGGGAAAATTAGGGGAGAGATACAAGAGAATTTTCAAATTTAGGGTTTTGTTTGGCCACGAAAACGAGAACTTGAAAGAGGTGGAATGATAGGCGACAAGAGCTGTGTTCTGAGGGAGGAAAAGTAGCGTAGAAATAACTCGACAAATCCGATTAATGGAAACTGCAAAATGGCAATATCACGCGTCAGAAAAGAAGTGTAAATCACGCTCTTACTAAAATAAGGGTTGGGAACTAGGTAGACGCGCTTTTAGGTGACCTGAAAGCACGCTCGGGGGAATCTTGAGACGGTTACGTGAATTTAAGAGAGGTTGTAAAAGGACGCGCTGGTTTTAAGGGCTCAATGAGTCACTTACAGATGACGCCAGCTCCGATGGCGTTCACGCTCAGTTAGAAAAAAAAAGGCTAACGTCTCAATTGCCTTTGACGGTTGAGTAAGGGGAGGCTTTATGCTGCGCTGTCTGTCTTTCTTAGCTTCTTTTTTCTTCATTTTCCATTTTTTTTCAGTTTTGTTTTGCTCTCCGCTTCCGATAATGGGCGAGCATTACATCGAATGTCCACGTTGATGGCCTAACTTAACAGTCAAAGAGCCAATCAGAAACAATGGGAAAATAAATATGGGAGAGATTTTCCCGTTAGCCAATCAGAGACATGATTTTTTTTTTAAGTCAATCGAGGCCTATCATACTCAAAAAAGAGCGAATGGGAATCCAAGCCCGCATAACTATTGGGCAGGCCTGTGACCCTGAACGGCCGGCTTGATCCACACACATTTTTATTTTCACAATGGAAATAGGGATGGCAATCGGCTAGGGTGAGAGAGAGTTTTTTTCGTCTCAAATTCGATGCGTTTTTATATATATAATATTTAAATTTGATTTAATTTGATAATTTTTTATTTTTTAGATTTGAATTTTATCTAATTTAATATTATATAAAATTGTGTTGGATTCGATCTATTTGAAATTAATAAAATATTATTTTTTAATATAAATATAAAAATAAAAATATAAAATTAAATAAATAATTATTTATATATATACCAGTTGGACAAGTTTACTTGAAATTCAACCCCAACTTTATTTTATTTTTATCTTACTCAAAATTCGACTAAAAAAAATCTTAAAAGATTTAAATTAATCGAAATCTATAAAAGACGAGTTGGGTTGCATCCATAAATAAAAAGAAAGGTTGAAATGGGTCCAATCTAGACAATGAAAATTGGGTCAGAAATGGAAAAATTTTGGGCCGAGGAGGAAAGATCCAATTACCCGAGAACCAGACTCTTAACATCGCAAGAAGAAGACCGCCGCGTATAAGCTCAAAACCCTAACAAACCAGACCAGGAAGAGAAACATAGGTTTTACAAGTTGCAGAAAGCAGAACAAAGCATACTGCTTTACTTTTCCGACATTACTTGTCGAAGATGCCAAAGTCCAAGCGTAACAAAATAGGTTCGCCTTCTTTTAATCTTTCATCATGAAAAAGTGGTTTTTTTTTTTTTTTTTGGGTTATAAAGTTTTCAAAATGTTTGAATTTCATGGTATATGCAGTTTCATTATCAAAGACAAAGAAGAAGGGAAGGGAACATAAGGAATCAATAGTGAATGCTATAAGGGAAGCTGCTGAAACTTACAATTCTATCTATGTTTTCTCTTTTGAAAACATGAGAAATCTTAAATTCAAGGAGTTTAGAGAGCAGCTCAAACCCACCAGCAGGTGAAAAATTTTAAATTCAAGAAGCCCATTTACTCTTGTATTATTTAAATTACTTTGACTAATTTTTTTTGGGGATTTTACTTCAGATTTTTCCTTGGTTCAAATAAAGTAATGCAAGTTGCTGTAGGTCGTTCTGCTTCTGATGATATTAGACCAGGTCTTTACAAAGTTTCTAAGGTATGGCAGCAGCTTATTTCTTTTATCATGTTTACATTTGATGCTTCTGTTCATCATTATTATTATTACCATTGTTGTTGAATTGTTTTCTAGCTTCTGCGCGGGGATACTGGACTGTTTCTTACCAACTTGCCAAGAGAAGAAGTGGAGAGGTAATTATATCTGATATCTCAGTTTACATTACAACTGTTTAGACTGTTACAATTCAAGTTTCGGGTTCCTTATTTATGATTATTTTGCAGCTTGTTTAATAAATTTGAAGAAACCGACTTTGCAAGGACAGGAAGCGTTGCAACTGAGAAGGTTGAGAAAGACAAACTCTTATTATTCTACCTTATGTCTTTTTATCTTGCTGCAAAGCTTATGATCCTTGATTATTAACGGGATGTACACATGCTTTCTATCATTTCCAGGTGGAACTTTTAGAAGGTCCTTTGGATCAGTTCACGCATGAGATGGAGCCATTTTTGCGCAAGCAAGGAATGCCTGTTCGGTTGAACAAAGGTCAATCATTTGTTTCTTCTGTTTTCTGCATGACATGTAACGTATATATTAAGGTTGAATTGACATATTAACTTTATTTATGGTGTATAGGTGTTGTAGAACTTGTTTCAGACTTTGTTGTCTGCGAGGAGGGAAAGCCTTTGTCACCTGAGTCAGCTCGGATACTGGTGTGTTCGTGTTTTATACCTTGATGTACCTAGTTATAATATAATATTGTCAGTGAGGGAATGTTGGAATAGTGTCAGTCATTTACTGTTAGTTGCAATCACTTGATGCATCAAGTAATCTGTTTTTGACCCCCTGGTTTTGTCTATTGGAACTCAAATATTGATGACGTTTTATTTATTTGCAGCGCTTGTTGGGGATCAAAATGGCTACTTTCCGACTACACTTGATCTGCAGATGGAGTCCTGAGGACTTCGAACTTTATAAAGAAGCACTAGAGGAATCAGATGTTGAATCTGCATAGAAACAATGATTTCAGGTTGAATGCAATCACATTCAGGGGTTTGATCTTTGAAATTACAGGTCTTGGATATCCATCTCGGTTATCGTGGAGGACAATATGTGCTATTACAAAGTAATGCAGCAGCAGTGGTGTTGGTGGTGAAGTCGGACTGTTTCAATGACTGGTTTTATTCTGCAAGCTGTTGTGCAAAATTTTGATCTTTCTTCATATACTTGTCTCTAGTGCTTTTCTCTGTAAAATCTTCTGTTTGTACTATTAAATCTACATTTGAGTTGCCGGATATTTGAAATTTCATGCAATTTGTCATCCTCTCAATTTTCCCCTTTAACGATAAGATTATGATCGGATTTGTCAATTTTGCTGGAACAAGTAGAGAACGAGGACATATTGTACTTTAATTTTCATTAATTAAAAAATATTTCGTGCTAGACCCAAACTTTCAAAAAAATTTTCCAAGGCCTGATCCGAGCTTAGCCCACCCCAGCCTTGGACGGGACGTGGTACAAGATGTGCCGCCCATTGCATTTGGTAGGATGGAAGCAATGTTAATATAAGCTCCATCGATGAAGCATTCTTTCACTTTCCCTCTTGCTTATTGCAGATGCTGTTGCTTTGCAACCACGAAGGAGTCCCTGATTTTTGAAATGTTGATAAATGATCCCTCAGAGACTCAGTAATCACTCCCAAGGTTTTGTATCTGTATTCTGGCCTTACTAGCCAAAAGCTTTTACCATTGCACAGGCCAAAGGTTAAAGGGGTCATCAGTAGCTGTCATTTGGTGTTTGAATCACAACTAACCCAAATAAGTCAAATAATCTGAAAGCCAAATTTTCGGCTGCTCATTTTCCACTATAACATTGGAGGAATAATGGAATGCTAAGCAAATTATGCTAATTAAACATGGTCATATGCATCAATGCAAATTCACATGCCACTTTTAAGAACAAAATCTTGATAGATTGACCTCTGTTCCAAAATGCAGTTTTTGGATCCCATCAAACTGTAAATGAACTACACAGCTTCTTCACAGAGACAAATCTCAAACTCACAATGCGACCAATTCAGCCTTTTTATCCTCCAAAAGCTTTAGCTCCTCATGCCAACCTTCCAGTTTTGCCAACTTTTCCAACTGTTCTGGCTTCATCTCTTGCTGTGGAGTTTTTTGCTGTTGAGCTTCTGCTAGCCGAATCTACATATGCAAATCAATATTCAGGTAAATAAAAAAAAAAAAAAAAAAGCACTAAAACTTATATACGCTTGATGCTTTAGGTATTGAAAACATTTCACATTTAAAACAAGTTCACCATGCAACCATCCAAGGAATGGGAAGGACACCAATGTAAACAATTAACTTGCAGATAGCTAGTACTGAAATAAAGAAGTAATTCCATCCTTAAGTCACTGAAAGTACTCAACCATGTTCAGCAACAACTTGAAGTTGAAACATGTATAAACAATGAATGATAAACGATGAACCTTATTGTCACTCAAATATTAAGTTGTAAACTTTATGTCTTTTTAAGTCCTCTGGTATGCGCAAGAAAAGTTAGAGGTATACATCAAACTAATCATTGTATATATTTGCTGCAAACATGCCTCTCTTAAGACTCACATACAACACCCATGCATCCATGCACAAAAACCAGAATCTTATTTAAAGCCTCTTCAGGGGAAAGCAACTGACTCAATGAGGAAAAAAAGAAAGAAAGAACAGGAGTCAAGATTAGTTGGAATATTGAGACACAAAGCACGAGAACAAGTGAGAAGGATGTGCACACATATGTCAATTGTTAGCAGTGACCTTCATTACACTCACAGCCCAAAAAGGGCATAAGCTGTACACAACAGGAAGAATAATAAGCTTCCATTTGACAATCATAAAGTAGCACACAATTCTCTTAGCAGTGTGGATGAGTTATGGGATAGCATATTTTTACACTTATTTTTAGAACTTTTTTCAAAACTCTGCAATATATGCAGAGGTAAAGCTGTCGAGAGGGTATCGTTATTCCAACCAAATGCACAAAGATGCACATGCACACAGAAAACTAAATGAGATCAATTTAGTAAACAGAAAGTAAACATTTTATTGATTTTCATAAGTGGAAATATAATATATCTTTTTCCTTTTTCAGTTCTCTTTATTCATTTTAACTTTAAAAAGTATTTTTCAATTTGCTATCCTCCCATCACAGATGATTACTTGATGATCACGGTTGGTAGTTACAAGTCTTCTGCCTCTCAAGCATAAAGGATCAGTTTAATTTTAGATAAAGCTTTTTACGTAGAGATGAAAAAGCGAGTTTTTCTTTCTACAAGGTTCATTAAGATGTAATAAAATGCTATACAAATTATAACCACTATCTTTTACATGTTAATACAAAAGCATAATGAACCATACCTTCTTTTTAAGTGCCCGAATTTTTTTATCAAGATCTTGAACCGGTGCCCCAGCATCCGAGGCCTCCACTGAGTTTGAGGGTGGAGAGGTTGGAACAGGATTTTCGGAAACAGCCAGATCAGTCATCTGAGATGTCAATGAGTTAACAGATTCTGATCCATTGTTTAAATATTCCTCAGGTACATCCTCTTTTGTAGTCTCATCATCTGCCACTGCTTCCAAGTCCTTACGCTTTTCAAGAGCAGCCTGCCATAAGTAAATTGGTAAATTAAATGCTAAGTGTTAATTTACAGAATCTTGTTGCCTAATGTCTAGAACAATGGCAAGACTAGATATTTTTACCTCAGTACATTCTTAGAGACAATAAGCTCACATCCAAAGCCAATCAGTTTATTCCATCAACTATCTAATGCAGTAGATATGTTTTTCAATCAGTTTATTCTATCAACAATGGCAGCAACAATGTTGTTGCATAGCTATCTAGCAACAATGCGAGTGAAAATCGGAACCACAGCACAAATAACAAGTTTTTCATCCTTTTTTTCATTTTTGTGACAAAGAGAAAAGGTAAAATAGAGATAAAGAAGTAAAGAGTCCAGTTTTTGCAAAAAATCGAAAAAGATGAAAAGCTGTTGGCAGACCACATATGCTATTGCCATCACAAAGCCACAGAAAACACATTTACTAGTACTACAGCTGCCTTTTCATAAACACTAAGGATGTTCTGTTCTGTTTCCATGGACTTTTGGATCATTTACAGAAGAGAAAAAGCATTGACTGATGACAAAACAAACTATATTATATTGTCCCTCTGCTATGGTAAAAGAACCAAGCAAGAAAAGAAAATGACCATCCGCTTGTAGGCTTGAAATGGGCCATGGCTAAAGCATAGGAGAAAGTAACAAAGAAGATGGAAAATTTCGTGATAAAACCATAAGGTTAACACGTACATCCAAGTATTTCACCAAGTGAAGTTTCATCAAAAGGAAAAGAAATGAAATCATTTATCTTATGAGATAGTTTAACGGACCAAGATGAAATGAGCCAAAATTGCAAAAACCATTAAGTGGAAATTCAAGCAAGATCACAGCAACAAACATCATACCTGTAGCCGTTTCTCCTTCTTTCTTTCATTTCTCTTCGCTGATTTAGACTTGGGTTTTGCATCCGGAGGTGGATCATAACCTGGAGGCACTACTTGCGATGCCATCTCCTTTTTCCACTGCATCACAAGATTGAAACAAAGATTAATATCAATCTTCTTGTTCTTCCTTCTCCTTTTTTCCTATTGGAAAAAAGAGCAACATTTTGCAGGAGAAATTTCCACAAAATAAAACTTTGAATCCAACAATCCCAAAGGACAAAGTCTATACTGAACTTTAGCTGCACGGAACCGTCACAGTACTAATAGAAAACATTAGTAACAATTAAGTTACTTTAACATTAAATTTTTTAGCTCCAGAACTCAACCATAAAGCAATAGCAACAAGTTCCCACATTTACAAACACCAAATATAAACACTGAAACATTCATAATCCGCCATCCATCCATTTATCCATCCGTACATACATAAACACATGCATGACATACAAATCAATAAATACAAATTTGACGCCATACTCTCTCTTCCTAACATTCTAATCACTAAAACAAGCCAAAAGATTAAATTACATGCACATAAATGCATACATTGCATACGTGGACATATGAGACATACCAGGGCACCTTTGGACTGGTAAATGGCTACTTCCTCTTGGGGAACATACCCGGCCCGAATCCTTATGGGTTTTCGGAGTGTACCGTCGGGTCTTCGGGTGGGCGCTAGAATTCTTTCTCCTTCTTTTAGGGTTTTGCTCAATTCCGCCATCTTCTTCAATTGCTCTTCACCTCCTCCATTATTGCTACCCATTGATTTATATTTGTTTTTGAAATTAATAGATTGGTTTCGATTTGATCCCTGAGACTGTGATTTTGTTGTATTACTCTGCTTCAGTTTGTGAAATCAATCAAAATGTTTTCACCAACCTATCAGCCAAAAAGGTGTAAGAAATTAAAAATTAAATTTGTTTTTTGTTTTTGGGTACTTAAATGTAAAAGTTAAAATTCCATTTTGATCAGCTACAATTAATGTATTTCCACTTTGGTCCCTTTAAATTTTTAAAAATAAAAAATACCGGTAAATTATAACTCAATAGTCATTTAAATTTTTATCATTTTATTATAATTTTTTATTCATATTCAATTGAATCTTTAAATAGATAAAATCTAACCATAAGATAAAATTTAATTAATAAATTTTTGAACTACGGTTAATTAAATTTTTAAAAAGATCTTAAAAAAAAAGTGATAGAAAAAATTTATAAAAAAATATATTTTTTATTTAATTATCTTATATATTAATAGTGTCAGATAATAATTTTTCATTTATTTGATTGATATCACATAAAATTTTATTTATTTTATTAATTATGTTAATTTATTATTCAAATAAAAATTTAATAAGATGTAAATAAATATTTAAAAAATTAATTAATTAAAATAAAAAATAAATGATAATTTTTTTAATTATAATTCAAAAAAAAATTATGCTTTTTAAATTTCACCGAACTCTAGATCTTGTTGGTTCTAATACACCAACTTAAATCGGTAATCTTCAACTTTCCTTGTTTTTTAATTACGATTTGACATCAAACTCCAGATATTATGGATTCTAATACATTGACTTGAATCGGCAATCTCCAACTTTCCTTCTTGCGAGGGATAAAGATATAATAATTTACAAATAGCTCTTACTTGTCAACGTTGAATTTTGCATACAATTTGAGGCTAATTACAAAGTAAATAGCAAGTTAATGAAATTTAATTTAAAACTGAACTTTCTAGCTTCCTAAATACTATTGATCAAATATTTTTCAAGTAGTTGAAGTTAATTAGAAATAAAAAATTTGTTGAAGTACTAATTCAAATACTAGCATTTTTCAAATAACTCAATTTATTATTTATGTTCAAATTAGTAGAAAGTTAGAAATATGAATTTGGGTTTAAAGGAAGAGAAATTATCGCATTATTAATAACGAAGTTTTTAAATTTTATTGTCAAAATTAACAAAAAATAAAATTTGTATCAATTTTTTAACTTCATTTATAAAGTTAAAATTTTTATTATTAATATGTCAAAATCAAAATCTTAAATTACAACATTTTATATGCAATTTTAAACTACCTCGTAGCTTAAAAAAAATTTGAGTAGAGAAAAATTCCAACCGTGTTGTTTAAGATTCAATTATTGAACCAAAATTTTCGGGTGTGTCCTTTTCAGAAAACTTGATATTACCCAATTTGTTAAAAGTTTTGAAGCATATTAAAAACTATAACGGCTAGTGGAAACATAACAAATCTTCTTTGATAAATCTTGTTCTCCCAATCAAACACCAAAAAATGAGATGGAAACCGACCCATCTCGCTATCATGTTAGCAAAATTTCAAATCACACACCTAACATTACTACAAAGAAGAAACATCATGATTACAACACCTAATCTCATGCATCCGGACATAAGATTTAACAATGCCTTTTCAATACCTGTTTCATTATCTTTGCTATGATGCCTAATTGTAACCCTTTTTTTTCTCATGCACAAAGAAAAAGACATCTACCAGCTCTGTCGCCAAAGCAGAAGTTGGCAAGATCAATACTTGGTTAACGGATCGGTTCCCTTTGCATGCTGATTTGGAGAATTGTTACTTCGAGGACAATATGCTCATCTCCCCATGGGCTCTGGTCGAGGTCATTTGGTACTACTCGATAAGGTTGATTAAAAAGATGTTCCATCAAGATATTTTACTCCCTCTTATCCTCTTCTGAGTCATCTTCGTGATCAGAGGCACCAGCATTGCCATTCTTCCTCTCCTGCTTAACTAAACTGACATCCCCTTCAGACCGTCCCCTGGTTAGAGATTGAGCTTCTTCATCATCAAATTCCTCCGCCGCATCTTCTGAATATGCATACCTGAGGACAGTTAGCAGTATTGAGTATGTTAGCATAAGGAAGTGGCAAAAATACAGATGAAATTAAAGCTATGAGATGCTTATATCACCCCTCAAAAATATTGTCATGATCATGACTCATGACAAACTATATACAAAGGAAGATTCCCGTCTATTTGATAGCAGATTCTAACTACAAATATAAGTCCTCCAAGCAAAACATGGCCAGACAGTGTCCTTATGATTCAATTGAGCTTTCTCCAACCGGCTAAAACCCCATGCAACATACCATTTAAGCATTTTTAAATTGAAAAGAAATGCAAAAGGTTAATGCTGTCCAATTGATTCATTAAAACTTCTACACGAATAAGACGCACCGTTGGGAACTCTGAGATGGAGCCCAAAGGTAGCAAATAACACAGAGTAGTGCAAATGAAAGAATGTCCCAGAAAGCTGTGATGATCCAAGCACTCTGCCACCTCTCATTGAATGGATCTGTTGCTTTGAAGTATACCTGTAGTACCAAACAAATCAGATCCATGATAAATTGAACCAATGGTATCTTACAAAGAGCTACATAACAGTTTTAAGTTCAGTAAATAAGTGACTCTTTTGCAATACTTCACAATATCTGTCATTTATCCACGAAATATAACATCCAAACACCAACCAGAAAAGAAACAAAAGTCTTGCAAAAGTCATACCTCATAAGTTATCCATGCAACAGAAGCAATCACTGCCACAGCTAATGCATTTGAGAATTTCCTATAGAGGTCCAACTTTACAGATATTCTCTTTGCCTGGATGAAAATAATGTCAATCATAAGAAAGAAAATTAAGGCCATTTACCATTAAAGCAGAAAAAATGAACATTCCGAAATACCTGTAGCTGCTCCAGTGTTTTTGAAATAGATGTGAAGATCCACAATATCAAAAATGCATCCAGGAGTGCATCAGGAAGGACTAGGAAGAGTCTTGCTCTTCCTGATATGTCATTGATAGTCCCTACATACTCGGTAATGTCCAGCAATTCAGATGCCAAAAAATAAGTTGTTCCAAGAAGAAGCACCTTTGTGGTAAGACCTCCCAAAGTTGGGCGTACAACACCATAACCCATTGAAACAGAAAGTATGAGAAGTCGAGAAAGTGTTTTTCTTATAGCTCCAACTGTCACAACCCAAGATGTAATTATAACAGGCCTCACTCCTGCATCATTAAAATTTGCATGGTCAAGATACCACAATATCATTTCAAACAAACCCAGACCAATAACAGCAGTGATGCAGTGCTGAAGTTGCAGGATATCTTTCCAAAATCTCATGTACTGGGAGAACCAAACAGCACTAAGCAACAAATAGGCAATTGTCATGTACAAATAGAACTTCATCAATGGTGCCATTCTGCCAGGTAAATAACCATCAGGATTTTTCCACACTGTCTTCCCACTCATTACTGTTCCTTTAAGTTTCGGATCACATGCTATAAAGAATAAATTATACATCCCAGTTTTTGTAATAGGAACCTCTGCATTGTCCATACTTGTGGATAAATAGTTCTCACTGAACTGTATGTTTAAAACAATAGGCCAATTAATATCTGTTGCAGACGGTATCCTAATTACTTCACCTTGCTTGCAACCTTCCAGCTTAGCAAGATCAGGGGTGCAACATATTGATCTCTGCCCACCATAAGCTGAACCACCAATATTATTTCGATCAGCAGCCTCAAAAATCACCGCTTGTATCAACCAGGTCCTATGTTCCATGTCAGAATGTTCATCTGCAGCAGCCTGGGTCCTCCAGAATGTGATATTCTCAAATCTATATAAAAATTACATGTTAAACCATCAAATTTTGAAAATGGAAATGCTTAAGTCAGCACAAAAATACTGGTTTTACATCTATGGCTACAAAAATTTCTGAAAAGTAGCATCAGTTATATAGTATTAACAAAATGATAATGGCACAGATAACTTTGATCTGATCAATTAATCATTTTCAATTCAATATACAATTAACAATTAGTAAAATTGAAAATTACATTTCTTAATTTTTCAAAAAAAATCTAAAAGAAGAACGACAATTCATATTTCATTCGTCATCATAAATACAGCTAAGATTAATGAGTTTCTAACAGATCTAATCCAAAATCGATAAAACAACGTTACATTCTTCATTCAGAACTTTCATAAATTGAATTTAAAAGAAACAAACGATTCGCATTTTTTAAATAAAGGAAAGTGTTTCATTAATTTTATACCGAACAAAAGAGCGGCCATCGGTGGCGGATTTGTCGGAGGAGAGAGAGGCGGCGATGCCTTCACTTCCACCCGGAAGAAGGTAAGCATTGCCTACTTCATTGAAGAGTTGCTTCTGATAGATGTGGATTGAAGCGTTGGTCGTTTTTAAGGCTATTGATAATAGAAGAAAGATTAAAGCGCCGATGTTTTTTATGGATATTTGAAATGCTGGATCCATGGCGAGGAATTGGCAGTTAGTCTTAGCCCTGACCAAAGAATGAGAGTCGATCGGCGAATTTGAGGGAAGGAGAGAAGAGTAAGATTGAAGCAACGGCTTCAGGAAAGAAATAAGCACAACGCTACAAAGTTGCTGTCGGTGATAAGGAAGTATCAGTACGCGCCCATGAAGCACGTGTGGCGTAGCCATGGTCTTTTAATTTTTTTCCCTTTGAAAAAAAAAAAAAAAAAACCTTCTATTTTATTCTGCCAGTCTACTCGAAATCTTTTTTTTTTTGATCTGCTACTCTGCTGCATTCGATTTAGAATTTTTCCCTTTTTTACCTTTTTAGTATTCCATTTTATTTATTTTTATATTTTTATTTACTTCATTTAAATTTCATTAGTTTTACATTAATAAATTGAAAAAAAAAAGAATTTTTGTGATGATTATTGATATAATTTTTGGTTTAATGGTTGAAAATTTTTACTGTAGATATGATTTATAAGGAATAAAAGATAAAATAATTTAAATACGATGGATTTTAATTTATCTTAATTTGATATGATTGAATTTTTTAAAATAATCAAAAATTATATTGAAAATGCTTAGTTTTTTTTTTTTTTAATTTGAATTCCAGTTGAAGTCTGATTTTGGATTGTACTGTCCAACTCCATCCGGACATAAATAAAAAAATAATCATATTTATTATTTATTTAATTTTATATATTATATTATATTAATAAAATTATTATTTAATATTTTAACTTAAAATCAAATTCTTTATATTTTTATAAAGCTTCTTTAATCATTAAATCAAGAGGTAAAAGATACTTATTTTTCTTCTTTGTTAATATAGTTTATATTAAGTTTTTAGTTATGTAAATAATATTTTTTTGTCTCAAAATATATATTTTTTCGCTTTTTGACGTTTACAAGATTTAAAATATTTTTATTTTTTTATATTGAATTTGAAGCTGTGATGCGGTTGGAAGAGATGGTTAGTCAGGGCATGCTGCAAACCCTTTCTATATGGAACTCGTTGGTTGCATCTATATGTTGTAAAATGGGGGAGGAACATCGAATCCTTTGCTATGAGGGCATTTTGAACCTGCAGTAATTAGTCATCCATCCTTTTTCTCCCTGCTTCTATTTCCAAGTTCAAATTGAATGGAAGCAATGAATTTTGAGTGCACAAAGTTCAGCAAACAACTTGGGGTTTCCCTATCTTTTGTTCTTTTTAAATTTGCTTAAGGTTAATAGTTTGCCCGTGTGCAATGCAGTCGTTCAGGAATTTTTGTCCCAATCTGTTTCTCTGTTGATCAAGTGCCCGGTTCATTTCAAAGGAGCAAAAGCAAAGGAAATAAGACAAAATTAGGATATTAAAAATTTGCGATTATCGTCTCGAAGTTCATAACATTCACGTGTCCCTTGCATGAGGCCCATACGCAGAGGCCCTAGTATTTGAAGTATGAACTGACAGTTGCAGCATGTGAATCTTTGTAATCTTCTTCTGCCAGCTGATGCAAGGAATCGAGGAAGTAACTTTCCTAATTCTCCCAAAATGTCAAAAATTTTGGTCAAAGTAATGATATTTATGTTGACGAGATAATAATACTTGGAATCCATGAAAATATAATAAAGATTTCGTACATTATTTAAATTCAAGCTATTAGATTTTTGAATTTTTTATATATATAAAATATTTTATTCAAATTTTTTAATGATTTGAAATTTTTTACTCATATGTAAATCATATCCCAACAATTCTTTCCGTTCACTTGTGAATTATGATTTAATCCTACCTTAGCTCCTCCGTGCAAGTAAGTACTTATCAACACCTCATTTGGGTCAGATAACTTCACATTTCTAGTGCGCTTTTGGGTCAGACCACAGTATTCAACCTTACACTTAGGTTGTCTCAATGCTTCCTCAAGCTTACACTTCAGGTTGACTCAACACATCGTTCACTTAGGTGTTCTGCTTATATCATATACTCGTGCATCCAAGTTGAACCTCTAATACGAGCGTTCGAGAACATGGATGAACCTTTAATGCCGATGTTCGAATACATAGAGTTGATGGACATGATCAATCTTTGATCTGCCAATAATCTCTTCCTCAACAACACTATTGGGACTCAAACATGTGACTTCTCGAACCCACTATAACTTTGGCTTTGATACCACTTGTTGAGGAGATAAACCACACTTGGAGCCCATGAAAGCACACCAAAGAGCCCACACATACATGTTGGACATCACTTGAGCCCAAAAGCTTACGCTATTAGGTTTTTGGGTCCTTCATGCATATATAAGACATCTTATTCAGATTTTCTAATGATGTAGGATTCTTTACTCACATGTGAATCATATCCCAACAATTCATCCATATTCATCAAAGAGGTAAAAAAAATCTGAGAACTTCATAATTAATAAAAACAACTGCATCAAGATTGATGATTAATTTATTGAATTCTATTGAACATTAACATATATGTTGTTCAGCCACTTCTACTTGCCGTTGAACTTCATTAATCAGGAAATTATTTGTTTCATTTTGTTTGACTGTTAGCAGGTAGCTAGGCACATCATGCTTTTTTTTTTATTCCATATGACAACATATCTGAAATAACAAAAAGTATTACATCTCTACTTGAATAAATTTGCATGTTATGACTTTGGTTGAAGTTACGGCACAAAAGATGTTATGCCTTTTATTTTTTGAAGTGGTATATTATGTCATTGACTTCATACCGTGATCATATACATGTGCCTTTGATTATAAAAGATTTATCAAGAAAATGGTTTCCTTTATATTTCTTTTTTTTTTTAAGGCTCTATATTATTTCTTTGAAAAGATCTTGGAATTTCTATGAGTTTGTAAACTATTACATAGACTGGTCTTAAAGGATTTGATTATTATATTTTGTTATGTGCTTTCTAGCCATATGATGTAGGAAAACAAATTATTGTTTAAATATGACCACTGACTAAAAAAAAATTGTCATAAAGAATTAGCTACCTAAATTCAGAATTGCAGTTTGGAATGCTTATAAGTGTTTGAAGGATTGCAAATATTTTTACAATTGTTGTATGCTTCTAATATTTCTTGCACAAAAATATATTAATGCCTATATTGTAACTTTTAACTCAAATATGCATTTAATTTGAAAACAAGGGATTAATGTGTATATATATATATATTTATTTATTTATTTATATAGATGATGGTTAAATTGGTTTAGTTTATGATGAGTGTAGACACCAAATTTATTCGAATTTTTAATTAAATTTTTATTTAAAATGTATAAGATACATCAGGTTCTCAGGCCCAAGCCCAATTTTCAATTCAACTGAGCTACAAACCTAATTTTAATTCAACCGGGCTCATGACCCAATTCTAAATGGGCCCAAGGCCCAATTTTATCATTTTAGGCCCCAAAGCTTTTTATTTTATTTTATTTTATATAAAACAAAAAAATACAAAAATACAAAAAATTTAAAAGGGCCGGTAGCAGTGGGTGCCATGCACGGCACCACTGTCACCCCCTGTTCATTCCTGTTCACTCCTGTTCACACCCATGCCCTATGCTCCTTGCCATCATGCATTATCACTAGACAAAACAAAAGAAGTAAAAAGGGGCAAATAGGCTGTTCTATCAAGCCCTGTGCCACCTGCCCAAGCACAGGACCACGACGGGAGCTCTATAAATAGAGCTCTTGGCCAACCCCAAAAAAAAGGGAGAGACCCTGCAAAAAAAATGTTTTTTGTCAGAAAAACAACAAAAAATAATAATAATAATAAACTTAGTCCCCTGGAATGGGGAACCCAGCACCGAGATTCCTTGCAAAAGAGGAAGCAAAGTCAGTAAAAAAAAGTTAAAATACAAAAAAAGGAGAAAAAGGGTTTTGGCCGAAAGTTTAAGAGCAGATCTAGGCCGCTTGATTCTCTTTTTGGCAAAACGGATGCCAGATTTGGGTTCAAGAAGTTGAGGGGAGCATTTTGGAAGATTTTAAAATTTTTCACCACCGCTGACGATGGGCAGAGCTCACTACTGGCAAGGACCACGACGGCTGTCACAATGGACAGTCACCTACCTTAGTCGGCTTGAAAAAAAAATGAGAGAGAGAGTTTTTTTTTAAAGGGAAAAAATGAGCTAAAATTTTTTTTTGACATTTATATAGAAGGTTAAGTATCAAAACAATGTCGTTTCAATAAATGCCCAAAATAATGTTGTTTTAAGCACCCAGGATTTACGGGTCGACCCGTCGACTCGATCCGACATCCGCGCAATTGATTTGATGACCCGACTCACCCTTAGACCCAGACCGATCCAATTGAATCAACCTAGACCAAGCCAGACCAACCTTGAACCATCGAACCAATCAGATCGGATCGAGCCGTCAAACTTATCGTACCCACGTATTTTGAAAATTGATGACATTAATAATAATATCATTGAATATTTTATTTATTTTTTATTTTTACATTTTTAGAAAATAAATTTTATTTTTGTTTACTAAATACATTTTTTTAAAAACAAAAAAATAGAAAAAAAAACCATTTAAAAAAAAATAAAAATAAAAATATTTTTTTAAAAATAAAAATAAAAAAATTTTCTCAAACTAAACGGAATCTTATTTTCTCAACTAATTTTGGGAATGCTTTGGCCTTTCTTTTTTTTTTTTTCCGCATATTGTAGCAATTTATTATAATAACAAATAGTTAAAATAAACTAAAAGTGCTTGAAAGGGCAGTGTATTTGCCAATTAGCATTAGAATTAGGGGGAAGCTAAAGGGGTTGGCGGGGGTCGCGGCCCATAATAAAATATGTACATGTAGGCAGAAAGTTAGCTTTAAGCATAAGACGTGAGATTGGAAGGGCGGTGGCTCCTAAAGGCATAAATTTGATTTTTAATATATTATTTTATTATTTTTATTATTTCATTCATTATTATTTATTTATTTAATCTAATTTTAAAATTCAAGTTAAATTGAAACTAGCTTACTACTTAAATTTAATTAAAATCCAAATCAATTATTTTGTCGTTATATTTATGTGCTTTATTAAAATATCTAGTCACATCCTTTTATCATTTTTATCAAAATAAATTTCTTTTAAAATTTTCATTTGTAAACACTTATCTATGTCTAAGATCAATCAAGTCTATTTTTATTGTTATTATTTTGTTATTA